GCATTACGTTAAAGAGAGAGAATGCCGAACACATATAATTCAACAAATATTTACACTATATCCGATCATCAGAGACGGTAAATTCTATTAAAATCAAGCGCGATGCGGATGCTGCGATCTGTTTGTCCCGCTCGCGCTAATTACATGACGCTTTACGCGCGCAAATCATTTCAATCTCGATGAATCGGCAAAATTGTGCCGCGTCCGAGAAACGTTCTGGTCCCTATGGTATCGTATTTTATCGTATTCTTCGGATTTCAGGATTGTAAAATGTAGAAATATCGCGGCTGGTAAAATCGCGATTACGTTGTCCGTGAAAAGCGGCATAATTTGCCTCATTATCATGTCGCGAGTGTTGAAAGGCGTTTAATGTAGTTTTATCGAATTTTAATAAACACGTCCATCATAATTTTCGATGAAAAATTCTATTAAATCTTCCTTTAATCGAGACCAGCTGATATCTCATCACGCGAGAGCGATGCATTTTTTTGCAAGGCGTCTTTCAATCCCATCGGGAAATATTTTCGCGCGCTACGAATATTTTTCCATAATTCCAGTTTCAACGCGCAGACTCGTGTAATTGAGGAAAACCAAATATCTGCATCTTATACCTACCTACAAATCTTTGCTCTTTCTGATAATTAATTTTCGTCCCGCGTTATGAAAATCAGTTTAATCGCTCTGATTACACAACATCTGCTGCACCACAGAGATGCAGAGAACAACGAAACAGCGCCGAATTCCACGCTTAATTCGCCAGACAGGTTTGCGGTCCGCTAACATCATATATACGCTCGTACATCACGCTCAGCTGATTAAAATATCTTTGCGGATTCCGCGTTGTGTGATGATATCGCGTTATGTAAATCAAGGTATTCATTCCTTTAGTCAAGATATGAAAGCGGGACGCGAAGACGAAAAAGAGAAAGAGAGAGAATATTATACAGTGAATAGTAGATATATATATATCAAGAAAAAGAGCGTCGTTGTTTTCTAAAATACATAAGAAAACGTGTACATTACGAGAAAACGAGAGAACCGAAAGTATCCGGAACAATGTACAGAATGTATCATCGTACAAGCGAAATAAAGATAATTTTTCAAAAGCAAATCGAAAATGTAAAATAAAATTTTTTATTAAAACTTTTTTCATTTAGAATGTTTTTTTCGTTTTCAAGGAAGTTGAAAATTCATTGAATACGGAAATAATTTATGTTAAAAATGATTAAATTATTCTCAATTATAAAACAATATTACAAGAGTTTGAACAAATAGATATCACACTTCTTTAATTCGACGTGCAACATTTTCAGTAATATGTAATGTAATAAAATAGATACATTATTAAAACTTACATATTTTTATCCAAGTTACGACATCATTTACAAATGAAATAGTTGTGCAAAATCGTGTAGCAAAATCCTTTCGAACTGATTCTTAACATTAATCAAGTGCTCACACGAATTGGAAATCGATTCAAGAATATTTAAGTCAATTTTCTCTAAGGCAGGATCTCGAAAAAAATTGGTTCTACATTTTCGATTTGCACGAGAAATCACCTCCATTTCGTTTATACGATTTCCCATACACTATATACGCGAGCGCTCCAGTTTAACTCGCACGGTAACATTACATCGGATACTTAAACGCTCGCGATATCTCTCGTATGCCGTCAAGAAGCACCCTTTACGAGCCCGTTACAATAAAAATCACGATGCGACGAACGCGAATCCAGAACCTTAATTGCAGTCGGGCAATTCCATCCGGCGAAAATACGACGTACTGTGTACATGTTTAATGGTTCTATTAAATGACGAATATACGATCGGTCACAATGATGTAACATTTATTCTAGAAAGAGAAAGGGGCATAGAGAGAGAGATCGCGTATTTATTTCTACAATATAATACGTTTATAGCTTAAATAATTACATAACCGTGTAACAATTTTACAGAATAGCATTCTCGATGTCAAATTTATCCAGGATTTTCGTTTTTCTGACAAATATGCGCAAATGCAAGTTTAATGCTTCCGCGAATTGATATTGTCGTGACCAACAAACGAAAAAAGGGAAATATTCTTTTTTTTTATTCGAGATTTTTTACAGCGCGAGATTTTTTTACAAACCTTTTACACACAATGGGCATAAATAAAAAAAGACTGCAGATTTTTTTTTATACAGCAAACATTTGAAACGAGAAATGTTCACTCCGATTGTGCAGGCGGGAGAGGAAGAAAGGAGAAAATGCGAAATAAAAAGCCTGTAGATATATATATATATATATATATATATATCTTATATTTGCCGCGTGCGCCGTATTGAAAATTTTTTTAAAAATTTTTCTGATCACATTATTCATTTACGCGATAGACATTCGCAAAGAAGGAAAAGATATATAAATTAATTTTTCCAAAACCGTCTAAATTCTATCTACCTACTTTCATTCAAATAGAGTGCCAATCTCTATGCATTATTCGCAATTTTTGTGGATTACCGCCGTGAATTTTAATATCACTTCTTTATGAATATGAAGTAGAAGAGTCTCGCGCGGGAGGAGATAGACTAGCGTCGCGGATGAAAAGGGACAATATGCGAGGTGAGTTAGAAAGGAAAAGATTCACAGGAAAAATGGTCGGGTTGACCGACTCGCGTTCTTTCTCTCGGTGCTGTACCAGCACTTTTCAAACGCGTTTTCGCACTTTTCTCTCTAGAGACCGACCCGTGTCTACCCGTTGTTCGTCTCTCCTTCCACGCCTCTTCCAAGCCGACCGCAACAGGACAAGGGTGACCGTATACACGGTGACCGTAACAAATGCGGCTAACTAAGCGCAAAAGTCTCGCGGAAGCTTATTACTCGATGTTTACAGCCACGGGAGAAACTTGGACCTCGCGGACGCGGTGCACCGCACTTTAGGAACTCTCGAGAGGAGTTCCGCAGTAACTGCGACCGAGTCGTTTCAAACGGAGGGTTTTCCCTGTGTCGTGTCTGTGCGTGTGTGCGACGACGGGCCCCGATCTCGTAATTAACATACTCTCTTCTAGGAAGTCCCTCGCGACGTTTAGTCTCCTTCTCTCCTTTGCCGCGTATATACGATCCCATTTCTCGGGGACAGCCGCGCCGCCGACGGCGACGTGTCGCTGAGACGAATATTTTTCAACGGGAGAGAGAAAGCGGACGAGGGATGGAAATCACTTTCCGGGAAAGTTTCCCGGCGGAAGGAAGCGCCGGGAATCTTTCCTAAACCATCCGTTCGCAGCCGTCGCTCTGGGGCGTCCGTCGCGATCGAAGTTAATTGAGTCGTCCGTAATGAGGTTTCGGTCGCTTCTGTCGAGAAATTTTAATCGGCGGGGGTGTCGGCCGTGGGAAGGAAACGGAGACGGTCACGAAGTCGCGTCGGCAACGCTTGAAATGTTTGCAGGGAGTTATTCAATTATTTTACATCCCGCCGCGCCGGTCCGAGGTGCCTCTCGATTTGCCTGTCGCAGCGACGGATCAGCCCCGAATAGAATTAACTGTATCTCGAACGTGCCGAACGACCGATGGAACGGTGAGTGCGAGGTGAAATAATTTCTCGCGATGACAAAAAGGAAAGAAGAATTTTTTAAATATCGAATGGTCCGTGTGACTTTACTCGGCTTCTCTTTTTCGCTCGAACGAGATAAATCGATTGATCCCGGTCAATCCTTTGAGAATATGAACTTGATTCCTCGCATCATTCGACAAATCAGCGACATTGAAATATATATAAAAGAGTAGAATGTATCAGATAATTTTTTAAAAAATTTGCCAGATAAAGATGAGATGAAAATTTCCAGACAATATTATTTCCAAGACTATTTATGTAAACACAGTTGTAAAAAAATGTAAATTATAAAAGAGATATTAATGCTTCGATTCTACTACTTAAATATTTGTATGTGCTATGACTCTAAACCTAAATTAATGAACAATATTCTAGATAATTTCAAGTGAAGATAACACTTTTTTTCATCCAAGATGCAGATATATAGAAAATACATATTTTTATCATCTATATAAAGATAAGAAATGGCGGCAAAATTTCATCGAGATGATCACATCTATATAATTTTATTTCGATAACAGCAAACACCGGAAATGTACGATACAATTTTTATTTATCACACGACGAAGAATCGGAGAGAAATCGAATTCTCGCAAAACTCAAATAAGCTCGAAATTGAAAGCCTCGCTGATTGTCGAAAGCGTCACGCAGCGAAAACACCGTCGAATTTAGCCTCGTAGATCGCCGTTCTGACACGCGTCGCATTTTCCAACATCAAACCGCTGTCACTGAACCGCCTTGCAAGCAATATAGCATGAGAACAAGCGCCCACCGTGCGCCGCGGGCTTTACACGGGCTTTTGTACATGTACACGCGCGAGGGAGCGATGTGTTTCGAAACCCTCCCCGGGATTTAATATTTGATTTTGACGTTGTCTGTATATTGAAACTGTCGATTAATAATACATTAGTAATTACTTCGATATTATTCATATTTCTCGGCCGCTTTTATTACAACATCACGATTGCACCGCCAATGATTTGTATTACAAATAATTGCACACACAGCCATTAGTATATGTCAATATGTATTAAGCCGCTCAGGAGATTATAAACGCACCCCTACTCTTTTCTACAATAATGAAGTACGCGAGGATAATAAATGAAAATAATGGGGAAAAAACAAGAGATCCCTTTGTACGCTTAGCGCGCCAGAAATTAAATTAAATTAATTATGCTGCTATACATTTATTTCTTTCTCTCTTTCTACTTTTCCCCCTCTATTTTTGACAAACGCCGTGATAACTGGCATTTAATTGGAAAATAGAAAGAATAAAGTTTTCGTTTTGTTTTGTCTCGAAATACGAGAGAAATAGAGAAAACAAGGCGCTCCCTTAGCGCGTCTTCTCGTTTGATGCTTGCATCGATCCGCTTCGAACTGCAGCATACTTACGAATGTATGCTTGGCTGTTTCAGACTTCGGGATAACGACAGGTCGGCAGGAGGATACGTTTCCGTGTGCCTTTGTTTTTAACAGCAACGAGACCCGGAATGGTACGTTCGCGTCGCCAAATTACCCTGGGCTGTATCCTCGCAGCACGGAGTGCCACTACTTCTTCAATGGTCAACTTAACGAGCGGGTTCACCTTCATTTCCACTTCTTCGACGTCGAGGGAGTATTACCGTAAGTTCGATGAAGCGAATTCCTTCGAAAGGGAGAAAGCCGCTAGCTTTTAAATAACGCAATAATTATACGCGAGTAATTTCGAAAAAAATTTCGCCGTCAGCAAATAATACCTGTCATTGGATGATGTCGTGGAAATGCGATATAATGAGAAACAAAATTAATTAATATAAATGATAATGCGATATATCGAGTAACGGGGATAAAGGAATAAAAGCGGCTGACGATAATTATATTAGCAGCGAAAACATGTATCGCGATTCGCGATAAATATTTAATGGCACATCCGTGCTTCAGGCATCAATAATAAATCAAATTGATTATCTCGGATATTTTTCTAACGCGAATTATCAAAAGTATGAGGTGCGTTTATACGCGCGGTGTGAGATTTAGGCATTAAAACAGGAGTATATAACATATGGTATAGTATCTCGTGTCCGTTATCGGGATAGATATATATTCTGGCTTTGAGCGAACTTGGCGCGAATCTATTTGCGACGATAGATTCGCGGTGGTCGTTCAATTCTGGACTTTCACTAGGAGTTGAGACAGCTCGTTATATCAAACTGGCATCTAAGTTCTCAGCTACTTATCGAAACACGAAGGAAGCCCTGCGGTGAAGGATATCGGCGGCTGTTACTGCCGAGAAACGGAGGCAATTACGTGTCATCCATGTCGCAGACTGTTATTAACGAGCGTATTATCTATTATCCGATGTAACGATATAACATACCGCAGCTCCTTTTCGGAAAATATAACGGCAGGTGATGCAGAGCGCTCCTAAAGATCGTGATAGACGAGGTTACGCCAGAGGCAGAAAGAGAGAGAGAGAGAGAGAGAGAGAGAGGGCGATGGAAATCGTAAACAGGGAAAAAGGGAGGAGGGTTGGACCCAGTGGGGTCATATGATAGCTGGTTCCTAATTGGGTCGTATTAAATCGCGGGACCATCAATATTCCGGCGGCAGCGTTACGCTACGTTCATTACACGGAAGCCGCTAATTAATCATGTTTCGCCTGTTTCTGTCGAATTTTATAACACACAACGTGCTCGTTTGTCGCACACGGCGCCACGATGGTGCAAGGAACACGGGGAATCCGCGTCATCCGGTCGGCTCGCGCGCTCGCTCTGTAAATTAATAATAATTTGTCGTTTCGCGAGCGACATCGCTGTTTATCGCGGTCGACGCGCATACGTGAAGGGAATCGCGGAAGGATTCCTCCCGATTCACGTCTCGCTGTATATATACGAGAGACGGGAAATCGTAAATATATATCGGTCTCTCGGCGCGCAACCGCAACGAGACGAGAGTTCGATTGGACCGAGCGTAAGGTGCTTTATTCTCTGGATGCATTTCAACCCTCAACCCTCCGTCCCGGGACGAAGCGAGACGAGGAAAAAGATGTATACTCGGCCGTAAATCTGCGCGCCGGTAAACAGTCCTCGAGACGTTTCGGGTTACGCGCTCGCGCCGGACAAATGATGATCTATCACTCGAATTGCCACTTATGTCATCGGGGCCAACTAGTGGCCGCGATATACATTCTTCACCGCCGCGATAATAGCACCATCGCTCACGCATCAATATTTCTTTTCGCGACGATGTGTCGTTTGTCTCGCCGGCACCTAACCAGCCGGAGACGGCCGTGTAAATCTTACTTATCGCCTCTATTTATCTGCCAGACGACGCTACACGATCGCCCACAATTATGCTTGATGAGAGGATAATAAGCTATTATTATATTATCCAATATATATTTCGAATAATAGAAGGTATAATAATGATATATCTTTTTTCATATATACAATAGTATATGGCTTCTAACGACGCTTCATTATGATATTCACGAAGGTGTTGACGTTATTAAAACAATTAGATTATTCTTCAAATTAAATCAAAGATTGAACAAGTTTTGACAATTCTTTCCTGTGTAAACTCATCTTACACGCAAGTATATAACATTCGCGTTAGAATGATGTGAATAATAGGCCGAGATTGAATTATTTATGCTGGCGGAGGAAAGAGAAAGATAGTGAGAAGGAGAGGGAGCTATGAATGCAATTTATGACCGAGAGGGTAGCCAAGGAAGACTGTTAAGAAAAGTCATCCGAATTTTATCGATATTCTTTCCAGAGGTAGATATCGGAAGCTTTTTGCTGGTTCATTTTTCATCAAGGATATATATCAATGTATTGTATATCTCGTATAAGGCGTATTTTGAAAAGAGAAAACGTAGAGAATATCCCGCGCAAAAAAATTGAACGGCTTATCGAGTGCCGGAGAGAGTTCAATGCTTAATAATCTATAATCCTCGTATTCTCAAATATACACAGCCGATACGCGTGTATTTTATCGAAAGATTTTGACTTTACGGCGAATATAGCCGGTAGAAAATCGAATCTCCTTCTAGCAAGCTTCTTCGAGAGATGTAATAATGGACGATGGAGATACATATAACTTCCTTAATGAAATGCGCGACCGGCAAAGTTTTTGAGCCATCAAAGCTTGCAAGGAAAAGTTAAGTGAGTCGTTTAACTATCCAAACTTTAACTAATCCCCTGAATATATTTATTTTACTTGATATATTCCGACAGAGTTATGGAGCTGCTGCGCGCGCGCGTGATGTTTTACTTAATTTGAAAACGCGATAACTTGATATAAATATATATATATATATAAAGTTGGAACACAGAACTATGTACAAAGTTTTCATAATATGTTATATAGAAATAGATATATTTTACGATGTGCTTCACGCGTTCTTGCTTTATCACGCGCGAATGAGCGATATCAATTTTTATTACTATTTTTACGATTGTACATTTGAGAGGATCAAAATATGAAAAGTAAATAAAAAAATATATATATATATATATATATATGTAAAATTGATGAATACACGCATTCAATTAAAGTGTACGTATTTATATACGAGAGTGCAAATAACATTGTTAAAATGAAGATCGTAGTTCACTCGCTTCAATAAATGTAAAAACGTTAACGATAACCTTGCCACATACATATTTCACCAGCTAATTTTTGAATATTTAAAAACTTTTTTTTTACTGGATGTATTTCGTTCGTTTATCTTTATCGTTGACATCATCTTCGTGATTAATATCAGCGGGAGAAAGAGAGCGATATTGTAAGTGATACATATCTTGTATACCTATAATTGTACAGAATATCAATTATAATATCGCATGCACCATGTGTTTTTTTACGAACGATTAATCAAACGAACAACACACCAACAACGGCTGGTTCGTTCTCGTCCGATTAAATAAAAGGTATCGATCCGTTAACGATCCGGAACTCTGTTTTACAGGTGCGAAGCTGTATCAGCCAGCGATTACGTCGAATTCTCCAACTACATGATCAGAGATAGAAAGTACAACAGGCACTGCGGTCAGATGAAGGAATTCGACATTTACAGCGACAGGAAGTTCTTTCGCGTTACGTTCAAGAGTAACGATCGTCTCGACGCTACGGGCTTTAATGCCAGCTACGTGTTCCTGGATGAGGAGGAGAATTACACGATAAAGATACCTGCGAGCAACGGATCGGCACAGCACGGTGAGGCGCTCTTTCGTGAAATTAGTTAATTAATTATATTATACTATGCGGCGCGTTATTTCTGCTTCTACCCAGAGAGAGGGAGAGAGAGAGAGAGATAACTTCCGATTTTTTCAATTATTCATTGTTAAATCAACACTGTGTTATATAACGAGAGAGAGAGAGAGAGAGAGAGAGACTGACATTGTCTCTAACAAAGATATGGCGCGCCTCGTCGAGGGAAAACGCGACTCGTCGTAAAATTCGTCGCTAAATATCGTAAATATACATTATTTTTACACTCGGTGAACATTTAGACGCATATTACGCTGTTTATTATTTATCCCTGTCGACAATTTCGTTACGGAAAATATGAAATATGAAATACGCATCGTTAAAAAAAATTGCGACACGCCGCGCCGACTCCGATGAGAATATTTGGTTTATTGCACAAGTTCATTTCTACATTTTCGAATTTTGACAAAAAAAATTGCGTAGTTTTATATCTATATACAGTATGTTTTCGCGCGAGCTCCTCTCTCCACATATAATACAATAATTTACGATAAATATCAAAAATGGAGGAAAAAATGTTGGGTGCGCAAAGTTATCGCGCAAATTATCATCGCGACACATAAACCATAATATGACAGTAAAACATTTATTTTATTCCATTTGAACAATTTTTCAAAGGCAAATTACCCAATTTTTTATTATTACAGAACAATTTCAGCACTTGCTTTAATTATGTATATATTGTAAAATTGGCAAATAGAAAGTTGGCCGAGATAGTCGAAATAAAAATGAATAAAGCTATCATTGTGTGAAAAGATACGACATTACACAAGAAATCGAGAGAAAAGAGATCTCTCCTTTGTGAAGAACGAAAGAAATCTCTACTCGCGATATTACTAGCTAAAAGTACAATGTATTGTACTCAATTGAATTTTAGGGTTAATAATACAGTTTTGTGATGTAACATAATGTTCCTTGTAATGTAACGAGAGAGTTCTACGCGCGCGGTATTAATACGGTTTCTGCTGAAAACTCTCGTTCCTAACGCTTGTATTACACAATTCGTAGGCAGCTGTTAACCGCCACGTAATAATTATTGTATTCCAGCTATTTAAACATCCTCTCTCCGCAATTTTCATGACAAAGAGAGGATTTTTACCCTCTCGCACTCTGATTTTCCTTCTTACCGCTTATACCGCGTCTTCTCGTAGGAGAGAAGAGACGAGCGAGAAAAAAAACGCGGACGTACATTCTGAAAAATAATTGAGTCTTTTGAACATAAAAGAACGCCCCCGACGGTAAGAGAGAAAGAGAGAAGCCGGAGAACGGAGGGATCTCGCTCTCTGAATTGTACGGAGATTCGTTCATTCGCATTCTCATTCTACGCCGAGAAGGAGGCGAAAAGTCACGCGCGCGCGCGCGCTTAAATGGATAGAAGAGCGCGCGGAGAACCTGGAAAAGGTAGCAGCAGAATGAATTAAGGCGGTGTACTTTAGAGCCCGTACCGCGTCAAATCGAATTGCGCGGAGAGAAGCCCGTTATTCACTCGTTTCGCGCAAACGGGGTCGAATACCTCGGATTCGGTGAGAAACTTTTGTTACAACTTGGAGCATTGTTGCACGTTGGCTGGGGGAAGGGGATGAAAAAGGGGCGGAGAGGGTGGAGAGTAGCCCCGGCGCTTACGCCGGGGCTTAATAGCCCGAAATACATCTTCGAGCTTCGGTTCAGTCGCTCGTTTAAACGCCGTTTTCGAACGGGAGAAAAAAAATGTACGTTCTATCTCTCTTTCTCGCACGCGCGCTCGTGACTTCTTTCCGCCGATTGAAATGTCTCGTATGGATTCCGATTTCAATTTTGCGTCGATAATTTTTCTATCCCCTCTCTCTCTTTTTCTCTCAAATCCGCGTACTCCAGAGAGCACGTTTAAAACAAAAATTGCACCTACATTACTCATTACGATCCCGATTGAGCCCGCGCACAAAGGAAGTTTCAAATAATAACGCGATTTGCCCTCTACGTTCGTGAATGCATTTGCGCTACTATTGCATCGTCCACGTAATTATGTAAAATTGAATTTTGCACGGTTATACATGGTGCTCGAGAAATTGACTCGACGAAACCAAACAATATGAATTACTTTCGGCACAACGGCCCCGGCATGCGCGGTCAACTAGAATTGCCCGCCATTGTCGCGAAACAAGTTGCAAATAGGACTCGGCCGGATGTGACGCGTATTTATAGGCAATCAACGATAATGTTGCGACCCACCCACTTCCACCCTCTGCCCGCATTTTCCCCGTTTTCCGCGAGATTGTGTAGCGGCAGTTTCAATATTCTAGATTGTATCGTCGACTTTGCAATATTTGTCCGGAGGAGCTTGCGTGAGATTGCATAATGAACGAAGCGTCGTAACAGGATTCGATATCAGTTCGAACGTTATCGTCGAGTTTGATAAATACGGGCAATGGGTAATGAGAAAAGCGCTCGCGGCATACTTTTTTTTTTTTCGAAGAGAGAGAGAAATAAAATAATGAGAAAAAATATCTTTGTTTTTCTTTTCTTTTTTTTTTTTTATTCGCAATTTTACTCGCAACGATCGAGACAGTCCCGCGGAATCTTGAAATTCTCACTTGGAACTTTTCTCATTGGACACTAAGTAAGGAAGAGGAAAGAAAAAAATTGGATATTTCGTATCGATCGTAGGAATTTTGTCGCGTACCCCCGATAACGCACCCCCGATCGCCCCCTTTTTTTACCTCGTCACGCCAATCTCCCATCCTTTCTACCTTCCCTCCCCCATTGCATTGTATTGTTTTTTCCGCTCCGCGCACAATAAAAAGGTCTACGAGAAGCGAACACGAACGTGACGAATTAATACGTGTGTATATTATTAATTTATGCCATCGTTAACACACATGTGTTATCACAAGCGCGATAGTTAGGTATACAGGCCAAACCCCAGGATCGATAACAACAAACGTGGACGAGGTCAATCACGAGAGAGAGAGAGAGAGTGTGTGTGTGTGTTATTGTGTATATCGGATCAAAGTAAACGCATTTTTTCTTCTTCGTTAAAGGTGCCGCATTTCCGCTGATGTTCCTGCTATTGTTGCTGTTGACGAACCGTCTTCTCGCTGGCAGAGACTCGCATCATTAAGAGAAGCAGGTCAGCTATCGGATGGGTCCCTGGCTCAATTTACAACGAACCGCAATCTGGAGAATGAGAAGGACCATCCCAGGAATCGCCTCGAACGGCTCTCGTCTCCGCATACCGAAGAAAGTGGCGAAACCTCGTTGATGAATTCGTCGAGAGGGAGCGCGTGTGTTATATTAAAGTCTATTACATCCCTCTCCCCCTTCCTCCCTCCCAAGACACGGCGGTTTAAATCCTTCCATCATCCTATCTCTCGTTCGTTCGCGTCACGTCGACTTATTATCCTCCGCTCCCATGAAAGAAAGACATTGGCAATAAAATATTTTTATCGTCGTCTGAAAACGGCGCGCGCGGAAAGAGAAGAAATGGATGAGGAACCCGAGAGAGATGTGTCATTCGTTGAGAGTCCGTTGCAACCCCGTTACCGTTAAACAGTGGAAAGTGGGATTAATTGGCTGCATGGCTAAATTGCCGCTAATAGCCTACGCGGGTAAGTTATAGTCGACAGTTAATTCTCCCCAGAAGGATTCTTATTTTCAGAGAGAAATAGAGTGAGAGAGAGAGAGAGAAGATCGCGAGATGGTGGCTCTCTGGGAAAACATTACGAATCGTCGTTCCGCCGCGTCTTGATTTAAAGAAATGTATTTTAAGAGAGAACGCGCGCGATATCTCCCCTTTTAAAATTATACCCAGTCTTAATCGTAGCTGCAACGAGTCCGCGAATAAATTTTAATCTCCAGCATGTTTCTTTTAATATTGAACAAATTTTTAAAATCAAGCTGTTAAAGGAGATTTGTACGATGCATGAGTATGATTTTACTCGTTCGACGAGCAATGATTTTTTTCCTTCTCCCGCGCAAAACGAATCTCTCAAGTCACCGTCCGTGTCTATCACTCGAGAAAGTCATACCATAGGAAAGAGACAAGCCTTCGCCGGATATACGGACGAACTTATCGACTACATCCTCTATACGACTGTGATGTTCCCCCTATTCTTTTTTATTGTATTAGTTCACTTTAGAGACCTTAGAGACGGAAGCAAGTCTGATACGCGCGCGAAAAAGCGGATGAGTTATTCGAATATAATTAGGTCGAATCGAGGTCTCTACTACGTATTAATCGCCGATTGCATCATGGAAAATTTTAGAAAGTTAAGTATTTATCGTCAGAGAGAGAGAGAGAGAGAGAGAGAGAGAGAGAGAGAAAGAGAGAGAATTTTAAGCGAGTGAGCGAACGTTTTTTAAACAAAAAAATCGCGAATCAATTTTGGATTTCGAATCCTACGAGAATACGTAAAATCAATGCATTTAATGAGATTATATGGGAGCGGTCGAAAGCGTAATGTGTGTTCTTAAAAATATGTACGATCGAACGGTTGCAATAATGAATGATCGACTGAATTTACGGACCGCGGACAATTAATAAGGAATATTTTGAAAACACTTTTTGAGCTTGTGGAAAGATCGTATCGACAGCGCGTAATTCGATATTACGAGGAAAAAAACATATTGGTGTTGATCTTCTTTCTTTTTCAATATATCGATACGAACGTGGGAAATTGATCGCACTCTCGTCACGAATTTACAATCATCACATTTTCATTAAATTATAATGATACACTTACGTGTAAAATACAGAGTAAATGTATATTTTTATTTAACTTTTTTTTATTAACTCGCTATTAAAATCGTCAGTCTCAGTTTATTATCAGTCTTTAAAATTTAATATACAATTTTTCTCGCGCACGAGTATATATATATATATATATATATATATGAGAGACTTACCTCTCTTGTTAAACAGGGATCTTTAATTGATTTTTTAATAAATTAGAGAGTTATTTTTCATTACTTTTATCCAGCGAAAAATTGATGAGTGTCCTTTACGCGTCAGAACATTTTTTATCATATTGGCAATTAAATCTGCATTAAACTAAATTCCGCTGGAAATTAACTGTTGAATGTAATTCTACTTCATTTTAACAACAAATTTCATAAATTGTAATAAAATTTTTGCTTGTTAATTAATTATGATACAATCATTATTATTATAATTACAAATAAAAATTTACAGATCCACTAAAAAAGACGATGATAAAAAGCCTCTGCTTAGATACAGCACAAATTGAAGATGATATATAAAGTATAAATTTTTGAAAGACCGATTTCTTTTTTTTAAGCAATAAAAATTGATCAAAGTTTACTTAGAAGTAAACATTTTAAAATACTTGTCGATAAATTGGCATAATATCTGCTACATTTGATACGGTTCTTGTCAAGTCTTGCAAAATACACATACTATAATATGAGTACACACCCGCCATAACTCCGACACATATATATGTATATTATGTATATGCGCCAACATCTTCAAAGAGTTAACGAGGCAGATACTAGAGTTAATTTTGTACGTCTTCATGCGCGATATGTGTGCATCGGGCCGAGTCGAGGTTGAAAATTGTTAACGTTGATACACTTTGCTCCCGTTATAGAAATAGGAGGAAAGCAAAGATGATAAAAGTCGCGCGCTTGTCGGGGGAGAAGCGCTGCTTGTTATAGAATAATTTACATGAAGGTCGTACAACTTGAGAAACGAGAAAAAAGGATCCACCCGACTCATCTCCGGGCAGATTCGACTGAGTGCGTTCGCGCTATATATCGACTCAAAGCATTCTGTTCTCTCTCTACTTTCTTAAAAAATGATTTCAAACGCTGGAGCGTTGGCGCTGTAGCGGAATTGATAGACCCGACGTATTTCCTCGAGCTTATTACAGCGATTATGACAACCAGATAGTGTCGTTTTCGTGACACGGAAGTCGGTATAACCGACCGTCGACTACTTATCGTATCGAAAAGCGTATAAGTGTACGATTTTTCGTTCGACAGCAACTCCTCATGGCAATGGTGGAGGAATGAATAAAACACAAGTGAAAAAAGAGAAACGAAACGGACTTGTATGAACTCGATATCAAATTGTGTATCTACAGATACATAAACTAGGTAGCAATACTGTCATTGTGTACGTTAGATACTCTATTGTGAGTGATTTTTAAATAGGTTTATAATATGTTGATCTTCTTCCGAAGTTTTTGGCTGATTTCTGCGAAAGGGGTGTGTATGTGTGTGTGTCGTGTGTGTGCGTGTGTGCGATGCGACTTTTATGTGCGAGAAATAAAGCGGATTATGTGTGCGTGTATGAGACCAGAGATCACCTTTGTTTCCGTTAACGTTTTCTCGTGTTAATGATAAGAGGAAGGGAAAGGACACACTTGACTAATTAGTAAGTTGAATACCTAATCGGGGCACTACGAAATGTATATATATATAACTATCACCATGTAAATATTGTTACATTCGATCCGTTTCAACTGCTGTCACTATACATAGCCATACCGTCTCATCCCGTAATCGTATTAGCGATTCACCAATCGAGAGAGTCAATGAGAAGCAGTATAGGTCGCAGCTTCGACAATGAAAAAAAAAAATATATATATATATATATATATATATATACTATATATATATATATATATATACATCTGTTGTCAATCAACTTTTCAATGTGTCATCGAAATAATGACATTAATTTTACAACCGATGCTTGCACGATCGATTGATCAATTGGAAGTTAATTGATTATAACATACATACGTATATAGAATATGAATTAATAAATTATATGCTTTATTTGGGGACACAATTATAGATTAATATTAATTTTATTACCGTAATTTACAATCAATTGATCGATTGAGAATTAATTTATTGTAAAACACATAATTTATTTATAAAATATACTACTATCCACCAAAAATCTGGATAAATAAAAATCTGGATTAAAAAAAACGAGAGAAACTGATCAAAGAAGGCACTTATTTCCCACTTCTGCGTCAGTAATGCAGTTCAAGAAAGTTGAAATTTCTTTTGCTAAATTATATACATATGTATCTATGTTTACCTATATGGACGATACCGTATATATTTTTATCATTTCCGCATTTACGTCTAAAAAATATACATTATAACGAAGTTTAATCGTCAAAAATCCGGTGAAGTGACGTACTGCTGGCACGGCGCTCCGTATAATCAAGGACGATATGAGTCCAAAAAAAAACGCAACTTTTATTATCCTTTCGCGTGTATCACACCGCCTATTACCGGGACCTATGGAGTCGAATTATCCAAGTTGCGCGCGCCTGGGGCGCATCCCGTAACTTTGTCCTGCGGTTAAAACTATCCACGAAAACACATCGTAGTCGTGCTCCGAAACGAAAGGAACGACCAGATGGAGAACGTTGGAGCACCGACTTCGGTATCCGCTAATAACTCAGCGGATGTATTTTCTTATTCTGTTTTGAGGCCCTTTGTGAGGCCCGACTTGTGTCTCACGCATAAGTTACGAGAATGTAATGCAATCACACATCGTTACTGTCCTTAATAAACCTTCACGTATGAATCCATACGTCTCACACGATACGTTTATAGTTGTTATTTCTAAATATATTTTAAGAGCACCCTATAATTCCTCTCTTCCCATTTTAAAAATACAATTACAGTCGTATATTTATATACGTCTGCAAAATTATATATTTCAGAGCGATGAACTTTTCAAGTGGATCTTGATGAAATGTTTCGGAGGAGCCTAATGCACCGAATATCGTTAACGATCGATCAGTTCTGCTATCCTCCGAGAGACCAGGAAACGACCTACATATAAGGCTGAAAACGTTTAAACTCCGCCGTAACTTTAGTAGATCGTTAAAGGGGACCGCTTTATGTTACGCTACAAAGAAGCTGCGAAACGAGAAATCCTCTTACAATTAATGTCTCAGCAAAATTGTTTGAGATAATTATTCTAGATATTTCGAACCTGGGCCAGACATAATAACGAACTTTGTCCCAGCATAATCCGCCGCAAGTGTACTATATATGTTCAAAGAGATACATATATATATACGTTGTGATGTATTTGCTTGAATAGCGGAAGTGAACAACGGAGGGAGGGGGCAGCGGAAAATTAGCTATTTATCTGAGGCTCTCATGATTTCATAATGTCTGTGTACAAATGAGAGATAATTTAAACGATTAATTGTCAATAACTATTTTTCTTTTAATTTCCAACGCGTAGCCCTTATTGTATGAAACATATATTTGCGGTCACAATTAATTATTTGCATTGGTAAAGTTATAATAATTGATACAATATTATATTAGTTGTAATTAATGACATAATTGGAATCCAGTTTACCTTGTGTTAGTAATTTTGATCAAAATTTCGCACAGATATAGTCGATTAAATTCCACATGTTAATCTACATCAATTGCTTTCATATATGTATATAAATTCCTTTCATTACTTGCAACATTATCAACAAACGATAACAATATCGTGCGGCAAAGATATAGAGTATAGAGTACAAAGCATCCTTTTCCCAAGTCTAAAAAGTGAATAAAGATAGGGGGTGCTATCTGTTTCTCTCTTTTGACATACTAAAGCCGGTCAGGTCATTTCCTGTTCTAGCTTGGAACTGTGTGAAGGTATTAACCATCGGTTAGCGAACAGAACTCTGCTTTCTCAAAAATAAAGCATATATTTTTCTGTAGTATAAAATTATTCAAAAATTATATAAAAAGACTCTTGTTAAATGTATATATTTCAAGGTTTTGATTCCGGAGATCGAAACAATCCTAATTTATATATTATAATTATGTAATAATATATAATTATAATATATAATTATAATATATAATTATATAAATTATGCATAATATATTGAAATATATAATTCTATATTCGAAGTTCAATTTATAATATTTAATTATATTATAAATTTATAATATATTAAATATTATAAATTGATGTTTAAATTAAATCCCTTTACTCACGCACGAGATATTTAAAGTTTAAATCACCCTCGTACGCACGTGGTTAAAATCTGAGGAGATCGGAATCTTCTTTCAAGACCTTAACGTAAAATAAAAAAAAAGACGAGAAACTCTCCGCACATTTCCTTCCAAGTTCTTCCGCGGCGCACCTTTCGCGGCGCGCCTTTGTCGCCGCCGACCGCGACGCTTTGAAGCGAGCCGACCCGCGGCGCGGGCGCGGCACGGCCGCAGTTCCTTGTGTGAAAACGCGCAGTCGCGCGCGCCGATCCTGTCGGGTGGGAGGTGCGATCAGCTGCGAACAGCACGAGGAGAGCGAGATGTTCGTCCTGCAGAGGTCTTTAATGTGAGTACTGAATCAGAGTGCGAAATTTTTCGCTTGACCGTCACTTCCGTGACTACGTCTCGACGTCATCTCGTGCTCGGGACGCCGAAACACGCGCGATCCTCTCATGTATTTGTTACGCGAGGCCCTTGCGGTTCCTCCAAGAAAGGATTTTGACACTTCCGAAGAGATAAAAGGCCGCCAAGTATAACCCAACAACTCTCTTCGCAGTCCCGCAATGCGGTGCTGAAAATAGGAGCGCCCCAGCAACCGACCAGCGATCGATACTGGGTAGCGAAGCCAGGTTACTGACGCGCCACGACGACCCATTGTCGAAAGATAACTCCTCTGTCCAGGTGTTCTCTGGGATAGTTCTCTTTCTTCCTTTGTGTTTCTATCTCCCTCTTTCTCTTCGCTCTAGCCTTCGCCAGTGACCTTTATTGTTTTGGAGAATTCGTTTCTTTTTACAATATTTTTCTCTCGTTTCCTCAATAAGATTTCGTAGAATCGTTCTCAGGTGCTTCAGAAAGTAATTTAATAATCCTCTTTGACAAAAGAATTAGATAGAAGGTTTTTCTCTAATGTATATCTCTTAAAAATCTCTATCTTGGATTAATTTATCGAGAAATATCAGTGTCAATATGATTCAGATAGATTTGATAATTCCACACACACATCTTAGAGTGTTTTTAAAATTGTACACAGTGTACATGCGATTGTCAATTAGTACCTTTTGGCTGTGCAAATAAAACTTGACGTAGATAAGTAAATCTTATATTATTTACCGTATCGTTTCACCTGATTTTCGTTACTGAAAGTGTTGAGTAGCGCAATAAATTCTTTTCCTCTATTATACAACTTCTCAAGTTTTCATAAGTTTTCTTGATCGCAATTTGTTGAAAAGAATGCAAATCAATATTCTTGTTGAAGACAAGATCTTTTATCGCGAAATTAAAGTCAGCGGAAATATATCATTAACATAGATAATCTCATGACCCAAAGTCAAGGTAAAAATGGTGATTATTCATGTTCCGGAAGCACCAGCGACGTATAATAATACGCGATTTATTCGTGAAATTGTAAAAAGTTTAGAAAAATAAAGAACGCTCCAAATTTAATCAAAATAAAATATTCCCGAAAATTTCGATTGCATACTCCAAAATATTGATTTTTTTTTTAAAGCAGAACTCGAGAAACCGAAGAAGTAATTCAGAGCAAATAGATTGTTGATTTATTTTTCAATCTAAATAACGAGTAAAAATAACAAACATAAATATTTGCATCCTTTTATTTTTGTTTATTATAAAATTGTCAAGAGATGTTATCAATATTGCTACACTACATGTATATATTACACATGCCAAGAATAATTTTCGTTTCCGAATAATCGCGGGGATATCGAGAAACTGAACGAGAGAAATAATTTTAATTTTAAAATAAGAAATATATAAATATTCATTTCTCAGCTCTTTAAAATAAAATTTCTTAGCTATAAATATAAAATCGTCGAAGGTAATCGACAGAATTTGTACTTGAATTTTGCAAAAAATAATGTAAGTAAGCAATTTTTCTGTAGATAAAATTAATAATGCACATAAGTATTTTAATTTTTATTTAATTTGTAGCTAGTAATTAGCAAAAGATTAAGCAAAAGATTTAATTTTGATTTATTTCTTATGTTTAATATTCTATTAGTCGTGTTGTGACTATCTGACATTTACCGATAATTATGCATAATGATCGAAAGAGATACACTCGAGCAACAGGCATGTATAAACTTATCCTTTATGTTAATGACTTTCAACAAAAACTTAAACTTAAATATAGCACAAAGACACATTAAATAAAAACATTATCGGTTGTATTGATTTATCATATTTAATCTTGTGCATATTATTAATTATTACTAACATTTTTTTTATCTTAAAATGTTTACGGATAATATATTTATAAAACATTCTTTTCTTATTCTTATTAATCTATTCTCAAAACTTGATGCATTCTGTATAAGATGATTTCAAAAGAAAAGAACAATATGATCGAACACGATCATTTTCATTTCGTCGAAAGACAGAGCAAATCATCCTTCTTTCTTACTAATTATCATTTCGGGCGTGCAATTGTTTGACATACATAGTATTATCTGCGAGCAATTTCGAGATAATCGATAACCAGAAACGATATACGAGCACACAACACAATCGTATCATGATAAAGCGAAACGTTTGACAGATGCGCTTAGTTACCCTATCGCGTCGCGTTCCGCTCGATCCAGTTTACGATACTCAGCGTGCTGCGCTTCCACATCCGCGGTTCGTGAGATGCACTTAATCGATTATTTGCGCAAATTGCCCGAGCATCGCTTCCTGGTAATACAACAGTTTTGCGATCTATGCACGTATCGCCTCGTTTTGTAAGTGATGTGACACGTTTATAATGCACAAGTTGAATATTAAATGTAATTTCGAAAGCCGAATCGTTTTAATCTCAGAACGAATTTATCTATATTTATGTATCACTAGAGAAAATATATATTATATGCAATAGACTTTTCGTGGATATAAGAGTCGTTTAATATTCTTGCTAATCTGTACGCGAAAGAATTTCAAGTCTTAATTATATAACTTATGTTTTAATTTGAGAAAAACATCTCCTGACAGTTGCAAAACATTCAAAGAAGGAACTTTTTTGTTGATGTTTTCTTTTGCTAATTACTAGCTAAAAATTACATTTGTAATTTTTTTAAGACATACATAATTTGTTAATAATAGATGAGCCGAATAAACTTGGAGATTATTTTAATGAAAAACTCGTAAGCCTAAAATAATAAAGTGATTTTCTCAAGCAGTTACAGTGTCACGAACGTTCTTGACATGCAAATCGATGTAAAAAGCATTACCGCTATTATCATAGTCGATCGATCTCACAGAGCTATAGAAAAGAATCAAACAACAAATTAGTATATAAGAATCGTGTATTTCAACGTGGAATTTCAACATAAAACTTCGATTACGTCATGCTGTTTTAATGTCACTGATGTGACTAGAACTTGTCAGATATTTATAGAATCCATTAAGTCGGTGAGAGAAGAGTTTTACATACTTAATTATTAATATCGATGAAAGAATAATATTTTACATATATATGTACATATAGGAAAGAGGATCGCGAGCCAAATTTCTTTCAGTCTCTTGTATACTTACAATTCATGATTGTTTTTACTCTACACACATACATATGTATATAATTGTGACACAGTTTTAGTCGTTTAACGACAATGAGGAAACTACAACGAGGTACTTTACGTGGGAGAGTTATGCGTGTCTCGCTATTAATCATAACATTGAAAATATACTCTCTCTCTGATTATAATGATGACAATGCGAGGCAAGTGAACACAAAAACACGCTCGTAATGATCATTTTCCTTCTATATCCTACATTATAATGTAATTTTTGCATTACAAATATGAAGAAGAAATTTATTATTAAGTCCATTTTAAATAATCAATTAATTCAACAAAACTCATAGAATTATAATCTTTTTTCTATTTATAATTTGATACAATATAGAAAATACTTTATATATACAAATAATACATACAAATGCATACAAAAAATTGATAAAATTCTATCTTGAATTTTGTCGTAAATTATAGAGCGTATAAAATAATGTTATAATCTATAAAAAAATCGTGACACAATTTTTTAGTCATAATAAAAAAAGTTTGAAAAACCGGATTATAATATATCAAAAAATATATGTAAAGATACATAGTACATACGTGTAAAATAATAAATAGATATTTTAAAATACACTCACGAACCAAGAATTCGTCTAATTGTAAATAGACTTTATGACGTTGAAGGGAAACATTCGTTGTATGTTTTAAAAGTACAAACGTTCATTGTGCGGACGTGCTGCTTTAATTTAAAGTGTCTTGCGGGGGTTTCAAGCGTTAAATGCGGGCATACTAATATAAGCCTAATACACTATGACTATTATATCTCTGAATTATGACTAAAAGAGTATAATATACATCGAGACAAATTTCGCACAGTTATTTCTCTAAAGCTGGCTTTACGCCACGGCAATAATAATAGCGTAACCTGCTTTGGTTCTCGAGGTGAGATAATTTCGTGGGCGTAAGATGCTTGTTGCGAGTCGTTTCAAGGTCTAAAGCGAGATGATATCGTTTTATCGATCGTCCAACATTTTTTGAACATGCAAAAATTGTTTTATGGGAAGTATTCGCGTTTTAGATTAGTTAATTTAGTGTTTCTTTTTTATTGAAAAAAAAATAAAATGATTTTGTTTTTATATTATTGTGAAAAAAATATTTAAGATATAAAAAGATACTGTTTCACAAAAATTTTATTTTATTTAATTTTGAAACTTTTTAAATATGCTATTCTATAGAAATAGTGTTCTCTTCGGAGAAAATGCAGTTTTTTATCTATATATACTCTTGCAGTTTCATTCGCAGTCTAACAGGTTACAATTCTAATATTCGACAAATTTTTATCTAATCATTATCTCCGTTTATCGGGCAATTATCAATCTTATTATCAATTTTGCTATAGCAGTAAATAGAAAATTATAGTACATACATATCCTAGAATAACGACGCCAAATATGCTTCTATAATTCTTCCATTTCATGTTTGTATATTCGTACTTTTAATATTATTTTCAAAAAATTAAAATTGAAAAATGTAAAATTGCATTTCTAATTTCTATAAACAATTAATTAATTTTAATATAAATTTTAATAAATAATTTTAATAAAATTTTAATATAAGGATATATATATATATATATATATATATATATATATATATATATGCATGTATCGTATAAGATTTCTATTGAAATAATTTTTTTCTTTGAGTACATTTTAATGTATGTATGAAATCTCCATCTCTTTTGCCAGCAAGATTAATGAGAGCGGATGTGCGCAAAGCGATACGTGATAAGAGCGATTCATTTGCCATATTTAATGAGTTTTACCCGTTCCATCCATTTTCGTAAATTTCATCAAATTGTATATCGTTTATCGGTCATCATCTAATATAAGTAATTCGACAATCAGATGGGTGTTATGTTTATTTCGCATAAAAAGTTATCATTTTTTCTTCCCACGCCGTTGATATTTCCTGAATGACTCATTGACTATGTCGTCATTAATTGCAGTAAATTATAAGTTGACTTTAATAGGCGTGCCGCGAAACGTCAGCCGCGGTTTTGTCATCAAATAAAAAAGAATAAGAAAAATTCTATTTACCGCGAGGCATAAATAATGCGCAATTTAATTCAATCGCGGGATACCGGGTATAATGTTTCGTATGTGTGCCAGATCGGCCAGTGGCAGAAATTGTGGTGGATCATGGACGCGAACGTTCCCACCTACTCATATCGCCGTGAAGGACGGCGCCCAACCACAAAGGGACATCCACGAGGTCTCGGGAGATGTGGTACCGATAAATATGGTAAAGGGAATCGGACATCTCAGAGATCCCCGACTTAACAAGGTACTTTGTATTTATTAAAATTTGTTAGCTACTTTATGATGTTTCAAAAATATAAATATTTCATGACGGAATGACACAGGGCTTGGCATTCACCCTGAAAGAAAGGATAGCTCTGGGGATACACGGACTGCAACCTCCCAGATTTAAGACGCAGGAGGAGCAACTGGCGCTATGTAAAGCTTCAGTGATGAAGTACTCGGAAGATTTGAACCGATATCTGTATCTCGTGGAGCTTCAAGTGAGCAAAGCTCTCTTTTCACTTAAAATCGTCATCGTAATTTTAACTTTCCCTGCGAAATGATTTTCCAGGAAAGGAACGAGAGATTATTTTTCCGTCTGTTGAGCGAAAACATCGAACAGATGATGCCAATCGTCTATACACCCACTGTCGGTCTGGCCTGCCAAAAGTTCGGCGTGATCTATCGCAGACCTCGCGGCCTTTTTATTACTATATATGATAAGGGTCACATATACGAGATCTTGAATAACTGGTTAGTATCGAACAAAATACTTTGCTCCAAAAAATTTTGTATTTGCATACTTGTGAAAGAAGACGACAGCGTTTAATAATATTCGTCAAATAACTTATCTTTCTTTTAACAAATTACACAATTAATGAAGAAGAAATAATTGTGAGTTGAGAAGGAATGTGATTTTTGTCAGGCACGTAATGTAGAGTGTAAACGAAAGTAAGCATCCGCGTGTGTGTCTAAAAATAGAATTCGACGCAACGCATACAATGCGCGCGTTATCTTTATGTCACGATATACGGCAAGTGAAAATGATTATTTCACACATATAGTAGCCTCTATTTCTAGTTAATGCCCTATCTCTGTAACCATTTTCTATATTTACGACGACTTCTGTCACATCGCTAGGCCGGAGCAAGCCGTGCGAGCCATCTGCGTGACAGACGGCGAGCGAATTTTGGGTCTGGGCGACCTTGGGGCATGCGGTATGGGTATCCCCGTCGGGAAACTAGCGCTTTACACAGCTCTGGCTGGCATTAAACCGCACCAATGTCTACCGATTACCATCGACGTAGGCACTAATAACGAACAGCTGAGAAACGATCCTCACTACATCGGTCTTAACAAGCCTAGGAGCCAAGGTGCCGAGTATGATGAACTGATCGACGAATTTATGGCTGCCTGCGTGCAAAAGTACGGACAAAACGTTCTTATTCAAGTAAGCTAACATACGCAACTATCCCGCGTACATTTCTATATGCATGTAATACATGTAATGTACATGCGAATCCGATATGATAATAATGGTGCGTTCTTGTTGTACGTTTCAGTTCGAAGACTTTGGTAACCACAATGCCTTTCGTTTCTTAGATAAATATAGGAATAAATACTGTACGTTCAACGATGATATACAAGGTACAGCTGCGGTTGCGGTCGCTGGAATCTTGGCATCAAAAAGAATAACTAAAAAGAGGATGGCGGATAATAAATTCGTCTTCCTGGGCGCCGGAGAGGTAGATTCTCCAGACGGTTTAATAATCATATATTTTGGCAGTGCTAAATATTTACGCGTTCCATCGAGGAAATTACATTGTAATAATATTTATTTTACTTGGTTATAGGCGGCCATCGGAATAGCTGATCTCTGCGTGAAAGCGATGGAGGCTGATGGTTGTTCTCAACAGCAAGCGCGTGATAGTATCTGGATGATGGACATTGACGGATTGCTCGTGAAGAATCGGCCCGAGGGTAATCTGGAAGGCCATAAGATCTGGTACGCGAAGGATTATAAAGTGATGAAAACGTTGATCGAAGTTGTAAAGGAAGTCAAGCCTACCGTTCTGATAGGTAAGCAACAACTCTCTTCAAATGACCTCCGAATATATAATAAACAGAATTAAAATGTTTCGCGCAGGTGCTTCGGCAGCTGCAGGAGCCTTCACTCCTGAAGTTCTAAGAGAGATGGCGAAGAATAACGAGAGGCCGTTGATCTTTGCTTTGAGTAATCCAACCAGCAAAGCTGAATGTACGGCGCAGCAGGCGTACGATAATACCGATGTATGTGAATATAATCTACCTTAAAATCGCACGCGCTGTATCGATAATTTTGCTTGCTTCGAACTTGTCTATGTCTTTTTAGGGTAGATGTGTATTCTCTTCCGGTTCACCATTCGGTGAAGTGAAGTACAACGGGAAAACGTACAAGCCTGGACAAGGCAATAACGCGTACATCTTTCCCGGTATCGCTTTGGGCGTTATCGGCACCGGAGTGCATCATATCACCGAGGATCTCTTTTTAATCTCGGCACAGGCTGTTGCCGATCACGTGAAAGACGAGGATCTTCAAAAGGGTAGTTTGTATCCGCCGTTGAATACCATCCGAGAATGCTCCATCGACATCGCGATTAAGATAGCCAATTACGCTTACGCTAAAGGTTGGTGTCGTAAATCGCGAGATCGAGAAATAGTCGCTAATCGCGTTATTTATATGTTGTTATATATTATTTATACAGGTGGTTTGGCGAGCGAGTATCCGGAGCCGAAAGACAAGCGAGAATTTATCATAAGTAAGATGTACGATGCCAACTATGACAGTCCACTGCCAAATCTATACGACTGGCCGGGTGATTATGCCAAGCCTCGCATGTTACCGGAAAAGTAAGTACAATGAACGCTCTCACGGCCGCGAATCGCAATTTCCCGATTACAAGTGATAAATCGCGATCGAGTGACAAAATCTGTCATTTTCGCAATAAGTAGGATCGATAAAGTAGTCAGATAAATCAAGTTAGTCGTAGCAAATAGCGTCACAGCGACTTTGTAGACAGTCTGAACGAGTAGGATTAATAGTAAGTTCGCAGGATTGCAGTGAATTAGTCTTTAATAGAGTCACGCATTAAACATTTCTAACAAACTTTATATGTTGCTTTCTTATTTTTTTCTTTTGCATTTTGTTTCATGATCATAGTGCTCGATATAGTAAATGAAATTGTTTTTCATGACCTTTTATAAATTCATGTCTATAAATGTGTTATTTTGCAGCTTGATATTTGCAAACGCAAAGATAAAATTGATACTCTCGATTTTGAGCTTATATTTTTAATAGCGATTTATTTTCGAAAAGAGTAGAATAATTGCTTTAATATTATTGAGCAAAAATTCATCAAGCTAGTATCTTATTTTATAATATATATATAACCGCTTTATTCATATAATATTTCATCCATTCCCACAATGTAGTATAATAGCATAATATATAACCGCGTATTCATATACCATTCCCTTGCTACAGTGTTGTCTCTAGCTTTGATTCATTCGTTTTCTCGACAAATCTCGATGAAACTGCTGAAGCTTAATTATACTTTTTCCAGAGACAGAATAGAAATTCGCCACGATTTAAAACACCTGTAGCGCATTTCATCGACCGGAAATATAGAGAGGAAGCTATCATTATTATCTTTAAAAAATATCGATGTTTTCTCGATCTTTAACCAATATCACTCATGGTATATGCAAACTTGCAAAATGATTTGCAAATCATTTTGAATGTAAAAGAAATCAGTTTGCACGAAGTACTAACACAGTACATGACAGCGGCATGATTTGATTGCTGACACTTTATTGCAATAAACTAACAATGCCGCATCTTAATGTTTTCCTCTTCTATGTAGCAGTATTACGAAAAGCTGAAGAGTACTTCTGTAGGAAATGGTCGAAAATATAAGTAAGGAAAGTTTATACAACATAGTCGCATTTTATAAAAAGTACTTGTTTTGTTTTGTGTTCCTCAATGTTGGAGAAATGTATGTATGTAAAAATGTATATCACGATATAGTGTTAATGGTTTTCCTTATCAAAACCAACGATAAAATTAGACTTTAGAATTTTTCTGTCATTTTTCAGTTCTATTAAAAGTTTAATCGATCGTAGAATATTAAAAATATATATATTTAGGTTCCCCGATTTCTTATTTACAGACAATTACCTAGAAAAATTATGAAAAACTCTAAATCCTTGTTCTCGATTTCCTCTCCTGAAGATAAATTATCACCCGAAAATTCATCTAACAATAAGAATGAGTTACTCATCCAAACTCTAATAAAGATCGGTACATGCTTTTGGAAATAAACATTTTTACTTTGCGATATTTTATAGATACTAAATTATTAATATTTTTAAACATTTTAAATAAATACATGTGCATATATACATATATCTATAGGTACAAATCAAAAAATTGGTCAAGAATCAGAATTGCTTTTTTTATATTAATGTTACATTTGATTACATATTTATTTGGATAGACAGCATATTCAAATTTCTAGTATTTTTATGAATGTAAATGATACTTAAGAATGAAATGAGACGTGCGTATTGAAAATGGTGGACAGCGTTTAAAAATTACTTTGAACAATATGTATTTTCGAATGTTTTATGAAAATCATATATACAATATGCGGATATAAAATAATAATATATCAAATAATATATGTATATGTAAAATATTAAATGATGATATTCGTTCGAAATATTTGCCTCTAAAAATTCTTGTGTTCGAAAACCAAAATACAAAGTTTTCTTAATAAGAAAAAAATTTTTTTTTAATTTTTAATAAATAAATAAGATATATGTTGCATTTGTATTGTATAACATTTTTGTTAGATTTATATTTTGTTCTAAATGCATATCATAATCATTATTCTGCTGGAAGCTGCATGCTGCATAATGTGCAATATTGAGATTTCACGACCGTGATAGAACATGCTTCTAAAATTATAATCGATAAGCAAGCAATCCTTATAGTGTTTAACACGGATATAATACGCACATATTTCCTTTAACAAAAACATTGTCTGAGAGACAATATTAAATCTGTACATTTTAATATCCTTTATAAGTTTATCCAAGCGATTAAAATTGCATTTTTTTCGAAAAGATTAAAAACTATTATATTTATTTGCACTTGTTTAAATCATTCTTCTTAAATCTCTCTCTTTCTCTCTCTCTCTCTCTCTCTCTCTCTCTCTCTCTCTCTCTCTATGAATAATTATTTAGAAGAATATTATTTATTTACACATCGCTTGGTTAAATTTATGAAACTATTATTTTGTGTGACTAACTGTGACATTTTCTCTTAACAGATTATGACATGTTGGCGAATCTAAACGCAAGACGAATAAACATATACAATATAGAAATCTTAATATTAATTTTTAATTTTTTGCAGTCATAAAAACCAATAATGTTACGAATGGTTAAATGAATATTATATATATTCTTTAATATTAAGAAATTGCAACTTATTGATGATAATTACACTCGATGTTTCTTACGTTTAAATATTCTCATGTAATTATTTATTTAATATACTGTCTAATGACGTAGTGATGTTGAACGTCACGCAGAATTTTATATAGATATATGCTCGAGAGTATATAATGTATACAACTATTCACTAACTTCGACATGGATTGTCAAATATTCCAATATTATGGATTATTCTTTTTTTAAAGATCTTTATTTAAAATAACAACAAAACTATCTCTAATAGCGTGGTATCATTATATTATGTGACATATACAATACACACACATCATATACTTATTTTATATTTAAAATTATAATTAATAAATAGTTGTTTTTCTTATTATGATTGTTACGCTATCAGAGATCAACTGCTCTCTCCTCGTTATATAATTTTTCAAATGATATAAAATATAAACTATATAAATCGCGCGGAACAGTTACTTATCTTATTTAATTGTGCATCAAATAAGCTACAGAGAAATATCAGGGAAATCGTTATAATTATTATACATATATAAAATATTGTAATATTAATATTTTTTTATATTCTGTGACATGCATTCTTATATTTTATAGAAAAGAATATGCTATCAAATGAAATTTTCGTCAAAAAAAAATACTTACGTTCTGTGGAATGCATATATTTATGGATAATACAGATTTAAACTGATTACTGCCTACAAAATAAGAAATCCTGAAATTGTGCAAATTCTACACAGAAAAATATATTATGCTGCCATGAGTAAATATATTGAATATTACAGAAAAAATAGATTCCATAAAGTTGCAGAGATATATATAAATTTATGAATTATTACTAATTGTAAGTCTATAAATTACAATGTTATAAGATTACAAAAATAAATGTTAAACTCTGGTTGTTATTTTATTGATGATATATTATTTATCTATGTTGCTTTCCTATTGTATGATAAATATATAAGAGGGAAGAAGGACGAATATTAACAATAAACAGATATTATACGCGTTTCTTTAATAAACAAAGCTTGTAAACAAAATTCATATATACATAAGTATAAAAATTATTTCGTTCTTTAAATATTTTCAGTTTTGTAATTTTATCTGCCAGTGAAATATTGGTTGGAAATATTTCAACCATAATGGTTCAATTATCACTGCCATTTTTTACTAGATATACAGCTCACAAGAGAAATTCTAGTACTTAAAATATATTTTCAAATATATATATTTTTTATTCACTTTCTGTAATAATTTAGTAAATTTTTTTGTAACTTGTTCTACATATCAGTTCATATTAGTGACTACCAAATTAATCCATTTAGGCACTATCATCCGAGATATTTGGATCAAAATCTGGGTCATCTTCATCATCGTCTTCTAAATCTAAATCATCTAGATTTTGGAACAAACTCTCATCTACTTTTACAGCATCACCTATATAATAAATTACATATCAGATATTAATGTTTTTGAAATAAAACTTAAATGTAACTTGACAAAGGAATAAAACTTGTCAAACTATGTTACCGTCATCTAAGAATTTGAGATCTGATTGATCCAAAGTTTTATCGGTCATAAACAATTCTCTCCCTGTTAATTTTTTTCCTTCACGATCTGCCAATTCTCTTCGTTTTGTATAACCCATTTCTTCATCAAATTTCTCCTTCCAGCTCAGAAAAGATTCCACAGTTACACGAGTTCCCTCAAATCGTCTCTACAGGATACATACGCATAAACATTATTGTGTTGATTATATATATTGAATATATGCAGCGGTCTGCTCTCTCTATGTCAAACATCGTACCCTCTCTGCTTCCTCTTCCTCTCTCTGTTTTTGTGCAGCAGTCTCTTCTCTCCTTACTTTTATTTTGTCCCACTGTACATTAAGCCATTCCTGTGCTGCGCTAACTAATGTAAAAACCATTACCATACCAAGATTTTCATTCATCTGTTCCATCAGATGTACTTTTAATTTCTCATCATCACCATCCTCGAAATTCTCTTGTTCGGTGATTGATATAAGCAACGGTTCATCTGGATACTTTGACGTATATGTAAATTCTAACCGACAACTGAGACCATTGACAGTTTCTGTTTCATATTCTTCCGTTTTAATCGGTATGGCAAATGTATAAAACGGTTCTGTCGTTAAAACTGGGAAGAGGGAGACAAATGCACATCTTTGAAATATTTGCATAAAACATATCCAAAAATTAAATTATCATTATAATTATTTTTTTAATATTGAGTATACAGAGAGGTTATATGGTAGAATTTATACATACTTTCCAATTCCCCACAATAAATTGACTCCAAGGCTTCAATTTCATTGTGCTGCTCGTCCTTATAATCCATCATTAACAAAATAAGTACGATCTTTAAACGCTTTCGATTAAAATATATAATTTGCTACTCTTCTAGGAAGCAACAAAATATCATGTCAAGCTGTTGCTGCGCTCGCCCGCGTGGAGTACGAGAGTGCGAGAGGTCGATAATCGATACTTCGATACTACGACAATCGATAATCGAAGCAAAGAATTGAATAATAAGCGCGAAAATTGTGTAATATTTTTGATATTTATTCGTCGATTATCTGTCAATTTTGCACGTATTTATTTTCAAACGTATTTAAAATGAGTAAAATTGCTTACTTAATAAAAAAGGTTTATTTTTCAATATTTTAATAATCTTTATAATTCATCATAACTTTAAATATTGTGTTATGATAAATAAAAAGCATAATAAATATTTTTAGAGCAAAATCTAATTGAGATTATCAAAAAGAGAGAGAGAGAGAGAGAGAGAGAGTGTGTGTCCTCTCTCTTAAAGATTTATGTAATTATTCTTACGTAAATTATATTACGTAACTTTTTATATTACATCTTAATCGCAAGAGTTCATGCATCGATAGCGCGAGAAAAAGAGAAAAATCAACTGCTGTCAATGAAAACCTCTGCTCATCTAAAGCTCTCTGCTTCCTTCTTGCGATTCCACGTTGCTACATTAAAAACTCAATATTTATATCGGTATGGGAAAGAATTGTCAATGTTTGAAGTAATATCGGCAACAAGATACAGTCGTGTTTTAAATTGTCACTGTATGTCTAAAAAAAAAATGCGTTGAAAAAGACGCGAAACGTTTTAAATAGAATATCGAATATACGCAAATCGATCGATGAGAGTCGCGATTTAAGCGATACCGATGTAACGCAAGCGTCTGCGTGAGCAAACAGGGCGGCTCCGCGCCGCGCCGGTCGCGCGCGGAAAAGCTCGCGGCGAGTTTAATGCAGCACCGGCGCGGAGAAGAGCGCGAGACGGTCTCGCGGAACGGCTGGCTCTCTAATCAATACGCTCGTCGCGCGAAAGCGACGCGACGAACGCAAGAAACGAGAGCGCGGCGGCGGCGAGCTTTCAGTCGGACGCACGCTCGCGTCGGAGATACGCGCGCGCGTCGGGAGTACCGCGCGAGAAGGAAAGAGAAAATAAGAGAGTGAGAGAGAGAGAGAGAAGAGACACGCACGTCCACCCGCACGTAAAGCGCGGGATCGGCAACCCCGAAAGGTGGAGTAGCGTCTCGGGCGGCAAAATGGCGGTCGTGATAAGAAACAAATGATCGGGGATTGGCGAACAGCGATAAACTGAGTTTGCGCGCGGAAATCCAGGGGTGCCTTCGAAGAGGCGGTGGTCCTCTCCTTTCCCGGTGGTGGTGGTGGTGCACGAAGATATACGTGCGGCTGCTATAATTTTTTCCTCTCTCTCTCTCTCCGAGCCGGGTGATATATCGTATATAGACGCGCCGAGAGCGCGCGACGCGTTCCTCCCTTCGGCGAGAAGGGAGAATACGACCTCCCCGAATTTGAAATCACGAGGGTTGGCCATGAGGGACTGCTGGTCGGCTGGTCGCGTGCGGGCGCGCTGACGTGCGAGCTGTGTGATTCGATTATCGATCACGGGATCCGTCACGGAACCTAGGGTGCAGGAGGGCGCGCTCGAGGATGCTCGCGGAAAGAGCGACGTGGAATCCGGGGCAGCGATCCGCGGGAAACGGTGCCGATTCGATAGATTGATGGACCTGCCGACGGAGACCGATCGCGTCGCAACCATGCATTTGCACTTTGAGAAGAATAACAACGCCAAGTGCGATTGCAATATCCTGTCGCTCAGCTGGATGGGCAAAGTGCCGGACGAGTCGCCGGAGGTAAATTTCTTTCGGTATACAGAGCGTCTTGAAAACTATGTCAGAGATTTTAAGGACGTATTCTGCGGCTCAAAATCAGAGAAAAGTCCCTGTAAACGTATAGGTCCGAAAATGCTTTTCCTCCGAGTTGTAGAATCGAAAACTACAATACATTTTTCAATTTTTTCATCCCTCTTCAAGGGGGCTATGACTCGGACGAGAAGCATTTTTGGATCCATGTTTAAAGAAACTTTTTTCTTAATTTTACTCCTGGAATACATCCTTAAAATCTTTGACATAGTTTTAGAACATCCTGTATAAATGATCCAATAATGTCAGATGCGTCAGCATATCTTGTGGTTTTTTCTCTACTTATACTCGATCATTTTCATCAATATATTTTGCTTTCGCTTCGTCATGTTCATATAGATATAGATTTTCATTTGTCGCGTCTAAAGTACATGAATATATATGAAATAAAATTACGCTATCTCCTCAAATCGGCCGGGAAAAAATGTTGTTATTCTACGTGTGATAGATTCGATACATTTAATCCAGCGCAAATGCAAGAGGCTAAAAATACATTTAATAGCATTCCACGAGTCACAAGGTAAAATGATACCGTGTCGCTTGCAATCGTTAACAATACGAATTAAAGTATTAGCGTAAGTTATGCAACAACTTAGCGGCGTAGAATTATTACACAACGCGCGCGTTGTGGATAATAGTCATTGCGAGCGAGTTGTTGAATAAGTTTGCATACATTCGTAAAGTATCGCGTATAGTATCAGATAAAAAATTCTCAATCTATGCGAAGCGAAAAGGATTCATCTCCGTTTCCGCTTCTCTGCAGCGAATTTACATAAAATCTGCCGCAAGATATGTCCATAGTTATTTTTGCATGTCGACATCGTCAAAGAGAGTCAACCTTCTACCTTAGACGGTATATCTACACATTTAATATATCCATTTAGAAAAATATATCCGGGAAGATCCGCGACGCAGGGACGCTGAATTTTTGACTCCGATTTGACGATAAAATTTCATTTCGCGACATTCGCGTTCGTCATTTATACTGAAGGGAAGAAAACGAAGTTATAAACATTAACGGAAATAGCTCGGCCGGCCTCGCGTTGCAGTAAAACGGAATATATAGACGCGAATAAAATGCAGCTGCCGCATTTTGACACATATACCTAGCTGCCCTGCTGGGTCGGGTAACGTGGGGGAGGAATAAACGACGACGACGATTAGATAAAACTTGTCGGCCCTTCGGGCGAGACCTCGCGCGAAATTAATTTGTCCCGTCTCGCGTGAAACAGCGAGAGCAATTAGCTCAGGTTCGTTTGCTTAGAGCTACACTGTAACTTATTCACGAAAACCTGATTCTACTACCTGATTGTAACATTCAGAAGTACAATAGGTTGCATGAGCTTACCAAAACAAGCTTGACTCACCGATTTCCAAGTATGAGAATCAAATGCGACGGAAAATTAACTCTTTTTACAGCCTTGTGTATCATTTTACGACCTGAAACGAATCCTTATCCGCGGTTGCAATTAATTAAATTATTGCTGTTTCGTAATTCTACCGCATAATGGCGAACGATGGGATTACGTCAGACTCTGTTATTTATAAAATCGTTAATAGATATACGGATATACATGTAATCCAATGGGTATGCAATTCCTGACGAGGATCTCGTCAATTTTCGAGGAAGTCTCTTTGTGAAACAGCAAGAAGTCTCGCAAGTCAATAACGCCATCGAAAACGACCGCATCAAAACAGCCACGAACGGAGATTGGAATATATCAGGACGAGGTGTGTGCACGTTTCTGCGGAGTTCAAGGAAGGGGTTGAGCAGGGGGCGAGACGTTGCAAAGGTGAAGGATTTCACGGTGGAGGGTTCGTCGTGGTGTAAATCTGACTTTGCGACGATAGCAGCCCCGTGCTTGGCGTCTCGAGTGGATCTTTTCACGGACCGACTAACGAGTGCCCAAGTTTCCCGCGACGGGCTTTGTTCCGCGCCACTTACCGAGGTCATCGAGAAACACGAATTGGTACCGCGTGCATCCGCCCGAGAGAAGCGGGTGTGCAACCGCGAAATTTCTTCTCGCGTTGAGGAAATTTTCCATTTACTCCGCCGCGGGTAAATGATTCTCGCGGTTAAATGACACGTGGCTCTCTTTCCGATAACACGATTAATAGAAAAAAAACTCCAAAGAGGAGAATAATTATTTCCTGTAATATTCCAACACTTTTTTTATTCAGAAATGCTTTATTCTTATTATATTACAATTTTGAGAATTTGAAGTTTTGTAAAAAAGAAACTTTTCGTGTTATAGGTAATTATAATATGTGATGTGTTAACAAAATTTATATTATATTCTGAAACTTTTTAATTCTCGGAAAAAACTTTGTTGCAAAGATTAAGGATTTACATGATGAAACAATGAGTATATTATACAGCGAGAAGCTTGTACAATAATTAATTATATATTCATTACTTTATGCTAAAGATCCGCTATATTAAACTCGTTAATTTTGTAATATTAAATATATATCAAATCTTTTTAATCTTTTAAATTTTAATGTTGCCATATTATAATTTGATTATATTAATTTGAAAGCTTTTAATATGAGGTTTTTCTATTTAGCGATTTGTAAACCGCTAAAATTCGAATAAACAATTAAAAAATGTTTCGTATTGTCAGTGATTTTCACAATTATTTTAATTTACACACTATTTATATAATTTAAATTTTTTTAAATTATATAAAGCAGTTTAAAATTGATATTAAAAACATGTGGAAAGCGATTTTTCTCTTCCTTCAATTTTCAAGAAAAAAAATTATTTTTTGTTGAATATGTTATGAAGTGTTGCTTTTGAAAATAATTTTTTCACAAACGTTCTAAAGCTCGTTTAAGCTTCAAGCTCTCGGTCTCTCTCTTTCTTTCTTTTTGACACGACCTGTTCATGTCTTTCCGGTTAAATATTCATACGTATACATGTGCAACGCACAACAGGAATTAATTTGATTACCGAACTCTCGGACGAGGCAATCGATCAGAATTAATTACGGCTTCTCGATCGACGAGCACGTTTCTCGTCGTCTCTCGCGCCTATTCTAATTCACCGCCGGAGACTGCCAATCTGCCGATCAACGATTTGAACGGAAGCCCGGCCCTCGGGACGCAGGAAGAAGCGCGATGAAAACCTGCGTGGAGAAGCGAGAAGGGAGGGAGGCTCAATTACTGGAAAAATAATTGACTTAGCAGAGGGCGAATTCGATCGAATCGCTCGCAGTCTATACCGTTCCCGGGGGAAGAATTCGCAATCGGTACGCAATGTATCATTTTGTTTCTCCGATTTCATTAAGTAATACTTTCCCTGATTACACGGTTGTTATCGTAAGTTATTGTGATTCGTATAGCGAAACGCCGATATTTTACGAATTTATGTATAATAGAGGTCTCTCGACCGAAAATGTCCGAAAGCCATTACGCGCGATATAAATTTTCAATGTCACCTTGACAGAGGTCGCAAAGAATAAATGGCGATCCATTAGAAGGAACCATATGCGTCGATCAAGCATCGATCGTTCTCGCTACTTCGCGAGTGAATAAATTTTGCGACTAAAGATTTTTTTATTCAATCTAGATATTATTTTCTTTTCTCTAGAATGAAAGAGGACTTTGTTAAAAATACGTAACTCTGACAGAAAATTAGCATGCGCAAATTTCACGTGGATCACGGTCGCGTGTACGCGCGACCGGGATAATCCGCCCTCCACTCCCTATTCCATATACATTTCCATTATACTCACACTTATTGTGAATCGCGCGTCCGCAAATCGATAATGTCATTATATCAAGAGCCGCTGCTTTACACTACTATACGCGCGCTATTGTTCGCCAGAAAATTGCACCGAGACATTTTCGAAAGCGCACTAAACTCTCTTTCGCGGTGTAAAAAAAAGAGAAAATTTCCGGTCAGCCTCGCTCACGTTTCGCATTCGTTCCACAAGGTGTCCCGTCTTCGCGCAACATCGATTTCCACCAATCGAGACCTCCTCCCTTTTGCCTTCGATTTTCCGCGAATTGCATTTCCAACGTGTTCGCGAAGATTGGATTACCGCTGATTTCTCTTTCCCTGCATCTCCCACTCCCTAACCACACTCTCCCTATTTGTTATATCACTCTGTGACTTGCAAATAAAAACCTCCCTCGCGGTCATCGATCACGCCGCGCCGTTTTGCGAAACGTTATTTCGTCTCGACGCGACGCGACGAGATATAAATCGGGGATGCGATTCTGCGAGGACCACGCAACAAAGCTTGGGACGTTAACGAAGATTTACGAGCGGGACACTAATTTTTTACTATAACTACGAAGGATTATTGTCTCGAGGTTTGACGGCGCGCAGCGTTTTCGCATCCAGCTTTCATTATTTCGGATAGTTATCTACGAAAGTTAGCTATCGAGTTACCTCGCATCGCTACTCTTGCTTCAGAGTAGTTGTATCCTCTTGGATGTCATCGCATTATGGCTGCGTAAAACAGCTCTGTTAGATAGCGTTTTAATTATACTGGCAACCCGGTACTGAATGCACGAACTGTCAGAAATATGCGAACTTGTCTACTAGGAGCCACAAAGTACACGTGTATTTTAGCTGTAATTAAATTTGAAATTTTAATGAAATTCTATAGTATAATTTACGTTATCTCGCACGCGCGACATTTCAAGGAAAACTTCAAACGCGAATGAGAAAGAAGGATTATATTATATCCTACCTTCGAAAGCTTTGATATAAATGCGAAAAGTCAAGAAGTATGGTAAAAAAAAATATCTTTTGTTTCTTGATTTCTTTTAATATTTAGTTACATGTTATTTCTTTCCAATACGTTACAAAGAATGAATGATAAACTCTGTTTTTGACGTTTCTTTTTAGTCAAAGGTGTTAATTAACAAGTAAAATCCAAATGCTCTCTTAAAATAGTCGTATTCGACATTGCAGCGAATTACAGAGATATATATTCGTCTATCGATGGGAAAGATGCCAAAGAGGGAAGAGACGGGCACAAATTATCCATATCGAATATTTCCTGCATTTGCGATTGTTTCCTGTGCCAAAACCAAAGTCCAGAACACGCGCTTATATAATTTTAATCTTGTTTTCGTGTTACAGAAATATCGTAAAAATTCTTTATTCGATAAAAGTTTAGGATATTAAACGGTAGATAAACTTGATGTGTTTTCTTGTAGCGCGCATGTGTATCGATATTACTAAGGATTCGGGCTGTCTTGAGTAATTACATCTATGTAAATTGGTGGCTGAAACCCCTTTTCAGCATTTTCGAAGCCCTTGCCACCTGACTGTATTATATTTCAGTTCAAAATTATGTGCCAACAAATAGCGGTGCAGAATATTCTGACAAACATCTTCAATTTTAGCTGAACGATTGTGTGATCTTATATTTAAAAAATGCGGTAATCGATTAATTAACTTATTGATCATTTTCGGCTCGATCTATTGCTTTTATATATAAACTTGACCGTGCAAACGCTATATATTCTAATTAAATTTTCGTATTAAATTACGCAGATAACGAATTATACGTGACGACCTTTTTGTGTCACGTATGATAACGCACTAATTTATTTGTGCAAATTCAAAGGATATTTGATTTAAAACGCTTTCTAGTCGACGACTTCAATCATTAAATAGAATAGGTCACAATATTCTGCATGATGGCTCTTTTCCACATTTACAGTCATTAAAACAAATCGCGATAGCGGTATCATGATTGACGTCGTTGCTTGAAAAAATTTCACGTTACTTTTCGCAAGAAGGAATAACGAACACGTCGACTCCTCTTATTTGCTAGGATGAAGGATGGAAACTCGATCGTACAAATTACTACCAAGAAGGATGGTTGGCTACCGGCAATGCTCGCGGCTTGGTAGGGGTGACTTTTACTACATCGCATTGTCGTACCAGAACCGCGGAACTTCCACTCAGAGCAAATTACAACCTCCGAGGGCACCGTAGTGAAGTGAGTATCGCTTTTCTCCTTTAACTTCTTGTTAAATCGCTCATCAGGAACGTTTGAGCGAAACGGATATTTAATTATTTCTTCCTCTTTGAGAATGCCAATGTACTTTTTTCATTTTTTTTTTTTTAGATTTTTTTTTCATTTATTTGGATTAGATATTAATACAAAAAAATGTTTTTTTCCTCTTTTACACATTTCTATAACTCGAAAAATTTTACGATACCAAAATAATAATTTATAGATTAAATATATGATGATCGATACGTTCGACAAATGCTATCATGATTTCACGGTTCTCGAAATCGGGTCCTTTGACGCGAGCAACGTTCTATCTATCATTACTTTGCAATATGAAGGAAACACGAGAGGCTTATCATTTAGTAGCAGCCAATGTGTATACACTTTATCTGCTCGATACCAGTCGCCGAAACGATCACAGAATGCGTGAATTAAATCGACAAAGAAATTGGATGGTTGCGCGATGTAGATAGGAATTTCTGCGATAATGCATTGAATCGTTAGAGAAAAATATTATAGGAGACCGGTATATTAAATATTACATATTGTATAAAATAATATCAGGGCATAGATGAACCATCTTTTTTAATTATACATTTACACATTACGTTTATTTAATATTACATTATCCTACTCACTATAACTTTTATTCAAGTAAAATTTTTTATTAATACAAAGGAGAGAAAGTAAATCACAAATTAAAAGATTAGAATTCATTTTTCTCTTAAGATAAAATAAAAAGATAAAATATGGAGAAGAGACAAACTGTATATTTTTCGAAAATTGAATCTAAATCAATCTTTGAGAGAAAGAGTGAGAGAGAAAAAGTGGATATTATAATTTTTAGTGAAATCTAAATAATTTTTTTTGAACATTCAATAAATAAGATAATGAGAAAAATAAAATTATTATTTAATATTAAATTAATTATCAAAATGCTTTTAAAATTCATTCATAATTATTAACGCTTATATGTTTCACTCTCTAACAAGTCGAACACTCTCTAAGAAATTTCCGATATTTTAAATGCACTCTATTTACTTTGACACAAAAAGTATATAATTTGTCCTACAATCTATTTATTTGAAAATATATGACTTGAAATAGAAATTCATCTCCGTTAAAACTGGTTCATTTATCCTCGTTAAAATTGATCCAACTATCCAACTTTTAAAGAATAGATAAATCACATGAAAACTTTTAATTAAACACAGATGATCAAATTATTGAAAGTTGAAAAAATATTTAATAGACATAAAAAATATGATATTTTTCATGAATGTTCTTTTCTTTTTTACCATTGTTAGAAACACTGTTAATACATTATCTAAATTTAAATCATATTTATGCTAGCTTGGTAATATTAAAAAGTGCCATTAACTAATCAAGCTGTAATTAAAACTTCAAACGTACGAACTGTATAAAGCTGTCTTCATTTATATTAAAAAAATTGAGCCTTGAATTTCAACTCAATCAACGTGGTTCATTTATTTCTAAATTATTTTATACATATATCGTAATACTATACATTGATGTTTCCATAAATAAAGCAACAAATTTTCCCAATTGAAATATATATATATATATATATATATATGGTATATAATATGATTTAATGATAGATTAATATTGTTTATACCTACATTTCACGGTTTCTAATTCTCGATTAATTTATCATGCAAATACCACGATTTAAATTCACCTGCGAAGCATTGCAGATAATAGTTGCAAAGTTCGCTAATATTTCGAACAAAGTGATTAAATAGTTTTGCAACACGTATATTGCGTGTATATATACCATCGTTGCTGTATACGCATTGGCAATTCCGTGGCCGAAACTTGGTGTAATCTCGGTATCGATAGTAAGCGGCCAGAGCGAAACAGGAGTCCTTTGTGGCTCTTAATCGATATTAAGCCGTATGGCGCGTGCTTTTAACAAACTGCCTGCAGGCACTCATAGGCCTTACCTATCCATGTCGCGCGATTTACAGCACCTACATACATACATACATACATACATACATATACATGCACACGTCGAGCTACTCCGTCGTCAGCTTCTCCAATATTAATATCACCGGCTTAAAATCTCGGGGGTTGCACCCTCCTCGCTCTGCATTCCTTCCTTCCTTCCGTACATTCGCGCGTTATTACGTATAGGTAGCGTTTTCGTTTTATCCTCTTCGAAAAGTTCGCGTAATACTCCCCAGATCTTCGCCGTCTCTTTTCCAGCAGAACGGAAGCATTACAATAGAACGCGAGTAATGGCACCTGTCCACGAATAATGTATGGCGCTTTAGATACGAAGATCATTAAATAAGGATAAACGTGGTAGTCTTGTACACAGCGAGATAAATCGCGCCATGTTTTTTTTTTCCATTATTTCGCGATTCAAAAAAATCTTTTTCCTCGCCGAGATACGCAGAGATTCGCTCCTGGATGTAACGCATTGCGCGTGATATTCGTGGGTGCGAACGCATGGCGCTTACTATCACAGTGCGCACTTTACTCTCGTCCCCTATCTTTTATGGATACGAGCCACTTCTATTTGAGGGGTTGCTTCTGTGGCATAGCGGAACGCGAGGGGCGAGAACAGACATCGTGGATTGTACGTAAGGGTTGCGAACGCACTCCACGTGACGTGACAAATGAGACGTTGACGCGTTCGCGCGAGGAATCTGTTCCTCGTCCACTCCGGGAGGTGTGTCATTCTTGACGAGACATTCCTCTCGGCGATGGAACGCTTCGAGTAATACCGCTAAAGTATGAGGCGAAAGAGTATGAACATTTTTAAAAATGTTTAAAAATGTCTAAATGAGAAAAGCCAGGATGAAATTTGTTATCATTTTGCGCAATCGATTATTTCTATCCATTCTATCCGATATGTATATAAATATCGGTTCATCAGATTCTATTCCGCGACCTCGTATCAAACTCGCGTAATAGCCAATACCTTACTCAGTTATGAGGCATTCGAAGCTGCTGGTAAATTGTTCGACGGCATTTAAACCGGCGTTAATTAAATCGAGATCAGCCACCCCCGCCCATCGGCGCCTGCTCCGGACACGATAGTGGCACGCGTGCACACGACGTGTATGTACGCCTATCTGTGTATATATGTGTGAGTATGCGTGTGTGTTATCGGCTCACGTGTCCCCCCTTGTGTTCATCTGTTAACTTTCCCGGACCCCATGGACCTTTCGCCTCGTTTAACGGACTTCAGTCAATAAGTCAACACGGGACCGACACGCAGGCACGAGAGACGATCGCCTTACACAAAGTGCATGTACGAAGGAAACGGTCCTGACAAGCGAGAAAAAGCAGGTCGGAATAAAGTTACGTCGGAAGAGCGACGAAGAGACTCGTATACGTATTTCGTTATGTCACGTCGATTTATAATTTATACGGGTGAATTATGCATTCGCGCTAGCTAGATAGATAAGTCAACTGTGCGCGATGCTCTTCGCGCGACATAAAACTAAAATGTCGAAGAAGAAGTAAAGCTCGTTCATCACGGTCAAAAGTTAATAAAAAAACAATATGTTTGAGATTCCGACAGACTTTTCGACGGTTCGCCCCCTTGACTGTCCGCTCGAACGATCCGCAAGTATAAAAAGTCTCTCATCTTATTTTTATTATCCTTCTCCTTTTATTTTTTTTCTATTTTTTCTTTCATATATACAACATTACTACGACGACGAGTGTCGATGGAAGCTTAGAATTTTGCGTCCACAACACTTCGGTCCACATTTCAGAGTTTAAGGGTAGTAGCCGCCATGGTATCGATCTGGCACGCAGTGCTGTTTTAAGACCGCGGTTCTCAACCCTCCGTTTCCGTGGCTACAACTTCTCTAGAAACGTTTCTCTTTTATATAGACGGAACGTTACTTTTTTTCTTTCACCTTTTACACAAACACGCTATATCTTTACACCGGCATTGTCTAAAAATAGAGGACAGCACGCTTCGAATATATATACCCTAGGATAAATAGCAGGCTCCTGTACTATGATAAAACATCATCCTCCGTGTTATAAATAATATTCTAAAATAGCAGAAGAGAAAGCAATTTGGTTCGACGCAATTCGGGACACAAAGTCGCCCTTTCTTCCCTCTCTCTCTCTCTCTTTTCTAGATTGCCATCGGCGACTTATAGGGCTGTATTTTCAGTTATTTCTGTTCTAGGCCGTACCAGCCATGTTCGGACCTCGAATCGATAGCACGATTATATCTGCACTCCTTATACAGTAGCTGTCACTTATTCGAGCACTGACAATTTCCGCGACGCGCAATTGTACGACTAACTGATTTCCGCCGAAAAGTCTCTTTCTTCTTTTTCTTTTTGTAAATCCCTTATTATGAGTGTTCAAAAAATTGTCCACAATAACTGCGACGATGAAATACAGATACGAGGAGAGAGAAAATTCTAGTCACATTGAACATTTCCGACATAACCATGCATCCGGTGAAACATTCACCCGCCCTTTTTGTCCAGCTTTCAACCGGATTTTAACTAGACCTTCTTGGCACGTGTGCCTCTAAGCTGGTTTTATGTTTTTATACTATTACTGCGATCCATCAAAAAAGAGATCAGTCCGACGGATGTAATATCTCTCGTTACTCGCGGAGTAAATGAAACTTTGATGTTGGCCGAGACATTTCTTTTTCACGTGCTGACATCATTAGCCCTCTCTCGGAGAGTCTCCCTTTCGTGTATAAGTAATGTCGAAGAGATTCCAAGTGGAACCCCGGCGAAAGCCGGAACCTCGCTAACTATACGTACTCGCTAATCCCTCGGGGATAAGTGTACTGTGGTCTAACATTCAGAATAGAGCCGTTAAAACGAGCGTATCGTGCTGAAGGACCAACTCTGTGGAATATTAAACGGACGATATTGTATTATACGTATAAATTATTCATCCCGCGGACTCAATACACTTTGATCGCGAAACCGGCGATATTTCGATGGCGGAAAAGCACGTGAGGTAGCGTCAACGAGGGGGGCAAACGTGCGCGTGAATTGATGTAATTAATTAAGATACTATGTATCTACAATTTCGAGAGCGTACGCGCGGAATTAACATGTTTATCTGCCGCAGTTCTCGCAATTCTAACATCTTAATGAACATTACATTATTCCGAGGAGGAGATAATTTCTAAAAAAAAGATCAAGGAAAAAGAAAATTCAGATACCATTTATTAAAGTTTTTTTTATGCAATATGACTGTATAAATCATTGCACGCGCGAGGAACAAAATATATTCTATTTGCGCGCTTTTCGACTCATTTCTCTATAAGTGTAAAATGTTCCGTACATGCAATATATATATAAGTAATGCAGGAATCTTGGAGGGTGTAAATTTTAATTTACGGAGGGGTTTGTCATAAATCACGAGGTGAGAAATGGAGCCAAAAGAAGGTGCCGGCAAAAGATGGATAGATAGAGAGGGAGAGAAATATTTCTCGTGGTATACGCGAACGTGTGGAGTTACCTTGACACTGAAAAAGAACGAGTGTAGAAAGGAGCATCATTGATTTACCAAACGAGCTCGCCGAGGCTCTGGCACTTGCTGCAGTCTTTACCGCAATGCATTAGCAGTCAAAGGATTACGTGACAATCTGCCCCTGCTTTCGGGACGAAAAGTAACGGCTTGGCGAATAAAATTGCGGTATATTAAAATAGAGAAGAAAGAGAGAGAGAGAGAGAGAGAGAGAGAGAAGAATGTAAGTCTTCTCCCCGTCTTTCATCCTTTATCAATATGCATTTCTGCATATAAATTGGCGGGGGATCTGCGTGAATAATGCACGGTAGCGAGAGATATAGAAGTATGAAACTTGATGTCATTATAACGCGAGACTTGGCATTTTTCTCGTGCTTTTTCCTCGGAATAAAGATTAGAAAATTACGCGGAAGAAGCAAAAGAGAACGATATTGCGAGAGAAAACGAGAAAAAAAGTGTAGCGTTTCTTTTGAATAATTTCATTTACATCTTTTCGCTCGCACGGACTTTTTCATTCCCGGAGTTGTACGGTTGCATCGAAAACGGAAAAGGCAAAATACAAAGCGGCAATACGTCACAGGTCGTAGAACTCTCAACGAACCTTAACCGAGCGGGAGAGAGGAAAAAAAAGAATAGGGACAACATACCGTAACACTCCCATTCGGCGCCTTTTAGTTCGAAAATACAATTACGACGAATTATCAGGCGCGTCGTTGCATTCGCCCTTTCTCTCCTTCTTTCTCGTTTTTTCTCTCTCTCTCTTTCCTGCTTCATACAATAAGCGTTGTACGAGAATAAAGAAGACAAAAGAGAGAGACAGAGAGAGTGTGAGAGATCAAGCAGGGGTGCTACTATTCGTATTCCATGATTAAACGAAAAATCTGTACGGAAAATATGACTTTCTACTTGCGACCCAATGTGGTGTGTACGTAACAAAAGTGCGGGGGTGTCGCGTATAAAAGCTGATAATACCATCGTACGTTCCATTGCAGAATGCGATTACAAGAGCCGGCGTCTCGCTCAAAATAGACCGTTGCGTCAATTTGTAGCTGTACGTATAGCGACCGCACAAATCCAGCCCGCCAGAATATGGTTCCTCTCCGATTTACCTAGCTATCTATATCGAAAATCTATATTGAAGCTTGCGACTTTAAAAATCCAAATGTAAATTCAAAAGTGTAAAAGTACACTTGACATGCAATTTAACGTGCCTATATAATTTAATAGTTTAAATTTATAAAAGAAAGTTATATACTATGTATATTACATATATAAAATTTACGATTTTTTTTAATTTTAATATATTCTTCGGACGTATCTCACGATCTCAGATTCGGCACGATTTTGATATCGCGAAAAATTCGAAAACGCCTATATGAGGTTCTTCTATTGATCAGCACGCTCATACTATCAGCGACTTTCTCGCACGATCATGCAATTTACAACCTGTGTCTCTAGACAGATTTTATTGCGCTTATAGAGAGTACACGGAAAATCCCGTTTATTCCCATCAAGCGGGAGCTTATCCTATAAGGCAATTTCGTTTATCGGCGATATTCCGCACTTAAAATCAGATGGGATCAAACTTTTATTCAACAGAAAAAACTTTCTTATTTGCTAATAAGATTTTTTCATGCAGATTTTTTTCATTCTTTTAATATGCCGTTTCAATTTCTTTCTGATTTAAATAAAATCCTCAGTTATAATAATTAAATATAACGACGCTATAAAAGCTTGCATGTATATGTATGAGCTTGTATGTGTATTCTATAATAATCTGCGGGACAAAAATGGCTTCTATTATTACGTTCATATAAGCGACTTTTACAATTTTTAATATTTGAAAAAGCACCAATTCTCCAAAGAGAAAGATAAATCTGCGACAACCTACAGATTAATCAATCACAGAATGATACAGTTGTACAACGATACATGGTAGAAAATTGTTCTAGGAGACTATCGATAACTTTTCGAATCTTTTTTCACACATATATACACCTACACACACATACGCGCGCGTGTGTAAATACGTGTGCAGACACATACATCTTTGCCGTCACGTACGCCATCCACGTTCTCATTTTTCGCTGTTCATCCTCGTGACTTGGTTCGCACTTCCGTTTTTTCAAGAATACGAACGAAAAAAAATTTTACGTAGAAAAATTAATCTATCGTGCATTTAAAAAATCGGAAAAAGATAAAGGTAATTTGTAATCCGAAGAAAAATGTTATAGAGCTTATCATTTTATAATTTTGTGGAGCAACGTAAAATTTATTGAGAGTTAAAAATCTGTGAAACACGATAAACGAATAAAATACAAAATGGAAAGATAGATTATTACAAATTACAAGATAAATTCGAGCGATTTAAAAAATTTGCCGAAATTTCAGTTTTATCTCTCGTTTTTTACACTTAATTAATTATAATTAGCAAAGATATATAAATAGTCCTCAACGAGAACAGCACATAGTGCAAATTATCTAATATTTTATTCCAGAAATTAATTTTCCGATAAACTTCTATTTGCCGTATCAGCATGATAAAAATATATAGACGAGCGTTCGCTCGTCACCGCAATAGAAGGCGATCGATCGACGATGGAGCAATGACACTTTGTAGATATCTCTGCGCACACATCTCGACTTTGACCTATGCAAGACTCGCCTCAACCACCGATAGCGCGAGATAAGTCCTTAAAAAAGAGGGTCACGATTACCTTTCTCGAAGGATTGATTTAATCTCTTCAAACACTTTCCGATTGCCTTTTTCGAAGGACTAATCCTTTCAGAGTTTTCGAGGAAAGTTACGCACGCTCGAAACGACGTCTCGTAATTAAAACAGCAGTAAAGCGATATTTTGATCGATGGTTATCAATTACCTATCATATTAATTATCTCGCGCATTTATTTAAGAAAGAAAAACGATGGAAGAATCTTGATTAAGAATGAAAAATGTTCGTCGAGAACGCTGAAGATACCAATTAAGCTTAGGCTTGCTGATTAGATTGCCCATAAAATTAGTTACAGAGTTTAAGATAAAATACCGAATCAATTTATGGCAATGTAATTAAAGCTGGCAGCATGAAAAATATTAGCTTTGGGATTTGTTATTATGTTTATGAAAATTTACAAAAATTGAGGAAATAATACCATTATAAGAGATTTCGTAATTAATACAATTTTTAATATTTTAACTTTTTTAGTTTATAAATCTCGTCTACCTGATTACAGGTGATACTCGTCAAATGGAACGAACCCTACCAGAAACTAGCCTCGTGCGACAGTTCGGGTGTAATCTTCGTTTGGATCAAATACGACGGACGATGGAGTATAGAATTAATCAACGACAGAAGCACACCTGTTACACATTTTTCTTGGTCCCACGATGGTCGTATGGCTCTTATATGTTACAGGGTAAATTATAGTACATGTTGAGTGTATAAATGATAACTATGATTTTTTTTCTCAATAGCACCAATGTTATAATATCTATTGTATTTAAGAAGTATTAAAGTAAAAAATACAGAATTATAAAATAAATTTTAATTTTATATATTTTTTGAAAGTGTATTATATACATATATTTTATATATAAATTATATATATATGTGTACACATAATATAATATAATATATGTATAATAAAGAGAGAATAATCTCTGTTTTTCTTTAAATGAATTAAGTCCGATAAATCGATGGTTATTTATTTTATGGATGTAGAGTATCGCCATTCGGATCAAAGCACAATTCATTTCATTCAATGCGTCGAGACGCGCTCTCGTTAAAACTTCAGAGGTTTATGTATTTATTTACGATCGCTCGTCGTAAACGTGCACGTTTTCACGAAGTATCAGCTGCAGAGAATGCAATGTTTTATTGCAGGATGGTTTCGTTCTGGTTGGGAGTGTCGCCGGTCAAAGGTATTGGTCGTCGATGCTCAACGACAAAGCGACGATAACCTGCGGCATTTGGACTCCGGACGATCAGCAGGTTTGAAAAAAATTTTAATCTTATATTTTTTGCGTGATTTTTTTCACTTATCATGAACGTTGTAATTATTGAGAAAGAAAGCAATCGACGTATCAATAAATTCGCACGTTTTCATTGACGATTAGAATACAATAACATGAGCATTTAAAATATCCTTCCCCAATAAATTCTTAATATTATGGCTGAATTACACTCGTTTATTTAACAGCGATCTAGTGAATTAAAAGTTTCCTCTTTGTTTCGGATCATAATATCTTTAGATAAAATATCGATAGAAGAAAAATAAAACGACATTTTATTCATCCTTCCTCTATTCTTTACAACAAAAAGGTCTATTTCGGAACGACTGCGGGCCAGTTAATCGTGATGGATGTCCACGGGGCTATGGTGTCGGAGGTACAACTAGCGGCTGGTGTCACGTCGATGGCGTGGAGCGCCGAAAAATTCACAATGGATGAGGATGAAACGTGTGACCGATCTCAAAAAGGTATGAATCGCGATTTTTAAAGGCTCGAGATTCTCGAAAAATAGACACCGGTCGAGAGAAATTGACGCATACGTTCATCGTGACATATGTACGAGTGCAGATGACCGGAATTACGTCCTAGCCGTTTGTCTTGCTGACGGCAACATCGTCATGTTACGGTCATTCGACGACGTGTCGCCCATTACGATACGCAGCAATCTGAAGCCGCCTTTACACGCCGAGTGGAGCAACTCTAGAAAACTTCTCGCTATCGCCGGCACGAAGGAGTCCGAACACGTACACCCGGGAAGTCCGCAGGAGTATACGAATCTGCTCAAGTTCTACTCAGTTAATGGTACTCTCGTATACACGACTGAGATTCCGTACACGCAAGTACGTTCGTAAGAATGTTCTATATTTTTGTATCTATCTGTCTATTAAAATCGACGCTCCGAGCGCGACTAAATAATTTATCTTACGATTTTTCTTTTTTACAAAACTTAACGCACGCTTCAGTGTCCAGTATCGGCGTTGACATGGGGACACAACGACAGGCGACTCTTCGTAGCGACCGGAGCGCGCATCCACGCCGCTTGGGTCTCCAGGTGATCTCTCATTTCGACGTAATCGCGTTTCCGCGAATGCGGATACTTAATACAAGTGACACTTCGAGAGTTACCGGAGTGATGATGCGCGGAATGACAATCAAGTAGGTATTGTTCCTTGCAGGAGAGTGGGCTCGCTACAACTGTTGTCGAGGCTAGCGGTGAGAGCGTCTCTCACGAGGGAATCCAACGTTCAACAGCTTCCATTGCCACCACGATTGAGAGCTTCGGTGGCTGCCCTGTTCGCCAACACGATACGGTAAAAAAAAGAACTTTTCGCTTTTTTTTTTTTTAATTCAATTCAATCAAAGAGAAGACGTTATGTACAAATGTCGCATCTTTCGGGCGCTTTCAGATGCTCAGTCCCGGAACCGAGAGAACTGCGACGCTTCGTGTCGAGGCCACCGCCTGGAGGTAGTCGATTGCACTGCACCATGCTTAGACATGCCGTCGAACCCGTGCCGTGTTACACGCTCTATCTGGAATACCTGGGCGGTCTTGTGCCACTTCTCAAAGGCAGACGGACCAGCAAGATCCGGCCCGAGTTTGTGATATTTGATCCGCAGAGCCAGGAAACTCTACAAGTGTTCGACGACATGTTGCAGTGTCCATCGTACAGCGACGGCTCGGACACCGAGAAAGACACGGCGGATTTATGCGGATCCCCCCGATACCGGAAGAAGAACAGGAAGAAAAGGGACGAGAAATCGAACGAAGAAGCGACGGAACGGGATGAGAAGCCGAACGATCTCTCATACGTGGATACCTTGCCGGAGGTAACGCGATATTCTTCCTCGTATTTATATTAAGTGAAATAAAACACGCAGTTGGAACATTATAAGCGTATCTCTGTGTCGCAGCACGCGAGACTGGTCGAAGTAACGTCAAACATCTGGGGCACGAAATTCAAGTTTCACGGCCTGGCGGATTCGATCCCCGCGAACCTAGGTCAAGTGACTTATCGAACGTCGTTGCTGCACCTGCAGCCTAGACAAATGACGCTCGTGATGACGGAGCTTCGGGACGATCTACCCGCAGGTAATTTCGTCTAGCTGCGTGACTTTGATTTCTTTCTTTAGATACAAAACCACTCAGCACACGATGCAACTGTCACGACAGGTCCGGATCCAACGTTCAACCCGAATCTATTTTCCGAGGACGAGGAGGAGTCGTATCAGGAAACGAGCTCGCGAGCCACCCCGGAGGCTCAACCGCCGCCGATCGCGCCGATGACGCCTCGCAACGCCCGTTTGAATCATCCGAGTCGACCCAAGTCCCAGATGTCAAACCAATTTCTAGCGACGGAGACGTCGCTGGGAAAGATCGAAAGCTACGAGAGCGAGTACGTACCGTACGTAGATCTACAGGACATGGGCAATCTGTACGAGAACATTAGGAATGCTCCCACCAACACGTATCGCACACCACCGAGACACAATCCGCCGCGATGTTGCGACGTGCCGGCTCTGCAATCGCCGAAAAACGCGGTCGCGCCTACGCAGACGTTGATAGCGACGTCGAACGCGGGTACCGATTACTCCAACAGCATTCAGAGGATGAAGAACGTTCTCGCGGACGTTCAGCAAACCGGCGTGCCGACGAAGAAGGAACTCGAGAACAACAAGCTCAATCAGATCGCGTCGGACGACAAGAGCCTGACGTCAAGTACTTGTCCGACGAGCATCATCGCCATGCAAAACGGCCAGACCGCGGAAGCATCGAGCAGTCGGTACTCGATCTCGCAGAGCCCGGTTACGAACGGCATCGAAAATGTCGATTGCACCCCAGCCGTATACCTGAACGGTCTAAACAATATGGCGTGCGCGAGCAACGCCGTCCACCAATCCGCGATGTCGCAGAACGCTCACAGTTTTGTACATAGTAAGAATAATCAAAATACCGGGGCGAGTTTCAATGCGACGTCGTCGAACAACAACGGTTCCTCTCAGGTCGGACATGCCGCGGGTCTACTTGTCGGCGCTAAGAACGGCGTGCACGGGATAGTGTCGCCCGCGTGTTCCTATCAATTTCCGGAAAACATCGAACAGTGCTTCGGATCGTCGTGCACACAGTGTTTCGCGAAACAAAAGGATCCCAAGTGTCACGCGTGTTACGGTAAGACGAATGCTGGGACGACACCCGGTGTCATTAAGCTCGACGAGGATCTGATGCGATTCAGCGACGACGATATCAGCCGCGGCGATGCGGGATTAACGCGGGGCGTTCACAGAACCTCAACTGTGATCAGTATCGGCCCAATGTGCTCCAACGACTCGATAGTCAGGAGTTGCAGCGTCGGTTATCTGGACCTGGTGGACGCTCAGCTGGTACCGTGCGACGTCGCGTTGCGAATGCTGCGCAGGGACGCGCCGAACAAGAGACTGGTGTTGGTGTCGCGAAAAACGAAACGACGAAAAAGAAACAAGCCTCAGCCGCAACTCGACGCGAGTCAGCCGAGCTCGAAGCCGCCCAGATTGCGCAACTGTGGCAAGTCCAAAAGTCTGGATTCTAGCGATATCTTTCCGAGCAACGAGCATATAGCCTCCCCGCCGCAACTGCCGGAACATGTGGAGGAGACGACGGTGGGAATGAACAATTCCGAGATGGTCGAGGATAGCGCGGTCAAATGCGAGGAATCTGAACCGTCGAAGGATGCGACGCGCGAGATCGTCGACAAACGCGAGGAAAGCAACGGACATGTTGTTCATGAAGTTCATACTGGAGAGAAGCCGAGCCGATCGCAAGCAGCCGCGTCTCTTGTCAAGTGAGTGTAATCAAATTCAGATATAAAAAGAATTAGTAAGAGGCACATATTATATATTATGTGCAATAAAATTATTTTAAAATTCCTCTATATTTTATTTCGAAAGTCTAGTTCTCTACCTCGCCCTTCTGGTTTTTAATAAGCTCTTTATCACATTTTATTTTGTACAATAAATTCGAAAAATTTGTATACTGAAAAAAATTAAATTAATAAATATTTATTTTAATATTGCCTAATAAATCATTTATTTGAAACAAATAAACATTTATTTGTTTTGAAAATATTTTCTTATATCAAAAAAATATTTATCACATCGAATCAATATTATTAGTTTTAAATAAATGATTTTTTAGATAGTATATTGAAATAAATATTTATTCGAATTCAATATATTTTTTTCAATGTATCGTATTATATCTCGATGAGAGAGAACTGTAATTTTTGTACGCGACACAAATAATAAGACTGAGATTGTATTTTAGAGGATCGAGTCCAAGCGGATCATTCGCCTCGTCTCTCGACGGTCTCGCAGCGAGACTTCGAGATTTCGATGACAGTCATTCCTTGCCACCTCCTTCTCCTAGGCCATCATCAAGGTAGTCATTCATATTATCGATATAAATATGCGCGCCCGAATCATTACAATTTATAACTGTTCGATGAATATAGATTGCCGAGGAGTTCGCCCAGCAGTCCAGCACCGTCTAAGAAAGGCAAGAGACCGGCGTCGGCTTCTCCAATCCGTAGAAGGCTTTTGTCGAGTCCGCTGTTGAGCAGAAGGATGCGAAAGAGTCGCGGCGAGAGCTCGGACGAGGAGGGTCTTCTTCAGGACGACTCCTCGTCGACGACGAGTTATCGAGACTTAGAAACATTCCAGAAGGCTCAATTACGTCAGAAGGTTTGTGTTACAAATACATATCTTTAACGTCCGAAGAAGAATGTGTTTCCATAAACACGATGTACTGAAAAAAATGCGCGGGAAAACGATACCGAGATGCAGACATTGCATTTACAGCTCAAGCAGAGAGGAGCGGTAATCTCCAAGCCGGAAGCGATAAGGCGCGACGCACAACTGGTGATGCACAATAAAGCGCCCATGTGGAACGAATCCAGTCAAGTGTACCAGCTCGATTTCGGCGGCAGAGTGACTCAGGAAAGCGCCAAGAATTTTCAGATTGAGTTCAGAGGTAGACAGGTAAGGAAGCGCGACTTCTCAAATTCGTGGTCTCTCAAATTAGAGTGTAAAATATTTTTGTAAATTCTTTTAGGTAATGCAGTTTGGAAGAATAGACGGAAATGCCTATACGTTGGATTTCCAGTATCCGTTCAGCGCTTTGCAAGCGTTCGCCGTCGCTCTGGCGAACGTCACGCAACGACTTAAGTAACTACTCGCTCTACGATACGTTCAAATTATAGAAAATTTAAGAATGGAAGATCTCGCGCGAGGCCTTCAAAATTGTCGAGAGTTCACGGAATTCCGTTCACTAACTTGTCCGAGGTTATAACATATTGACGAGACGATAATGACTTTTTGCGAGTAATTTTCTAGCGTCGTGGTGAAAGAAATCGCGTAGCCAGGACGTCAGAGAAGATCGTCAGCTGTTTCGAGGACAATGTGCAATGAAGAAATGTACGTTAATTTTCGCGAGTGCAGTTGCGAGCGATTTGAATTTGAGTGGAATACAAAGATTTTGTGTCGGCAGCTATGTTTTGTTGAATGCTTCTTCGTCGTACCGTCCAAAATATTTCGTTTCTCCCAACTTCGAGCGCTCATTTTTGTATAGTTTATGCGACACGTTGGAGTCTAGTGACGCTGTTGACGGTTTACCTCGTTCATTTTTGTGGTTCCGCCGAGTGTGTGTATTCGAATTTTATATACACTATATTATATTGACAGACTCGCACGTGCACGGGCGAGTGTTTCATGTTGTTCAATTAAATGTTTCTTAACGCGTAATGGTAAAAATAACGATAATAATATAGTAATGATAATGATAACGCTAATAATAATAATAATAACGATAATAAGAGTAACGATTGTAACGTAACGTTTGACGTCCGGCCTGTCTTCGCCATTAATGAGGTAACGGGGCAGACTAATCCTAAGGAGAGAGCGAGATATCGAAAGTATGCACCGTGTGTATTATGCATCTCGAGATGTGAATCGCGTCGTATGCAACTGCAAGTCGAGTCGACGCACGATCGCATCGTGGTGCTCGCTTCGTCGACGAAAAAAAAGCGATCAGGCCTACGCAAGGCAGGCAGTGTGTTCGTCGTCGGGGAAAAATTCGTCGAAAATTCTGACGACGGTGTCCTATACATCAGGAGTCAAGATTCCCGCTCGCGACTTCTGTTCCGCGATACGGAGAATTGTGTTTGTTTCTGCGTCCGGAAATCTGAACTTAAAACGTAACGTCTCGTTAGGATCCATATTTTCTCACACTCCGCAGCATCGCGCGTATAATTACGGTAATTCGGGATTCAGATGCCTTTTTTACACCGCGAGTTTCGCACGTTTCGAATCTACATATACATATACATACATCCGTATCCTGCATCCGTTCGAGATGGATCCATCCATTTTAGCGACGGTTTTAGAAACTCTCATCAGATCGTCGAAATGCCGAACGGTATAAGGTCGTAATACGACGATCGATTGATTCTCTAGTCGTTCCCCGTATATTGCTCCACACCCTCTTCAGCAAGTAATTGTAACGTCGAGCACTATTTTAACGTAACGTCGCGACGAGAATCATCGCGAACTCGCGTAGCGGATGATTCGAAAGAGGATTTATTGGAAATACATGCATTACATTGTTGGCATGAATAAGGGAACTTTTTTTCTCAAACTCGTCCGATATTTAAATCGATATATAATGAGTTCGTGAATTTCTCGTAACGACGGAACTAAGGATTTTGTATTCCGAGTGCGGATTTCTCTTCCATTTGTGCGAGCGCGCGCGTTTCGCATTTAATAGAAAGTTTCCCTTTAATACGATTACACCAGAGTGATATAAAGTTACTCTCGCGTCTACACACCCCGCTAACTTTTGAATACCATTGAATAAGAGCTTGACAACAGGCACATGGGAGAGAGGAGGGAGCGAGAGAATGAAAGGAAGCACACATGTTTAAATGAAATCTCAGAAGTGTATTCAGAAGTTGAAGTTGAAACGGGTGCGCGATTGGAGGATAATTCCGTACCGTTTGTCGTGTCTCATTGCATCGTTTAAGCACTTCATCATCATCTCGCGCCATCCGATTCCGATCGAACATATCTCATCATTTGTTGTAAAAAAAATATTGCATCCTTCGACAGCCGAGCAAAGCGGATTTGAGTCACGCGGAGCAACATAAAGTTACATCATTGTGCGTTTTAAGGCCCCCCAAAAAACGGGGTCGTCGAATTTACGCGAGTAGCAGTTTCATGTGAATTAAAATATATGGAAAAAAAAAAAAAAAAAAAAAAAACAAATCGCGCATTAACGATTTTCCGTATCCCATATAATATTGGACATTCGCATAAAGATGCTATACACCGCGTAAATTCGAGGACCCTTGGTATAAGATATAACGCGAAGACGATTTTCTAGTGAAATAATCGATGCTGTGATTATCCGTACAGATAAAAGTAAAATAAAAATACGCGTTATACTTCTCTTTTGTAATCTCTTCGAGGACTTTGAGCGTATTTCGTAGGAGATTTGCGCGACGCTTCAACGCTGGTAAAAAAATAGAGTGCCTACATTTGCATTTGACCGAAACCGCCTATTTAAACAAACGAGATTAATACTCGACATCAAGCCGCATATGAGATGTAATGACTCGAAAGCACTCGCATCTCGGATAAAATGCTTGTTATATTCTCACGCGCATTTCACATTATTAATATATTTGCACATTTTAAGTCATGCGTTTTTCCAAGAATGTAAAAAAAGGTGCAAACATCAGGATTCGCGGTTAATTGCATAAAATGTGTATCTCTAATCTGCGATTCCCCTAATTTGTTTCACTCATCTTTCGCGACACAGGCGTATACACTTGACACGTGACTGAGCTCCAAAATGTTCGGCCTAGCTCAAAAGTTAATTCTTGATATGTTAACCTTTTACGTTCGATGCTTCGTTTCTCTCCTTATCTTAATGGTAGCGTTATAAAAAGAATTGTGCTTAAAAAAAAGAAACGCTATATGTAAATTTTACGACTGAATATATCATAAGGAGAAAGACGATTAAGCATTGTATCCAATTGGAAATACGATTTTTCTCGTACGGATGACGTATATATTGTTAATTCAGTTCTTGCCTTAGTGCTATAACGATAATTCTGTATATGTGCAATGTAATTTTGTTACCGAATACATTATCGCGAGACTATTTGTAAATAAAGAAGGAAATACTACGTATAAAAATGTATAATATATGATTTACGCTTCCTCTGCTGGCAATATAATTTCTCTATCCATCACATAGTCGCATAGTTTAACAAAAAATAACTTTTTGTTCCAATATAAAAAAGAGCATAATTTCCTGTAACCTTTTAACGCCGAATAAAATTCCGATTTTCAAATTGTCCCACATTGCATTAGCATTTTAGGACGATTAAAGTTGCAAAAAAAAAAACGATTTTAATTAATTTTATCATATTTTAGCTACGCTATTTGAATTACATAATGTGAGAAACTTTTTTACAATCAAGATAAAATATTATGTTAGGACTTTCAAAAAGAAATTTGTTATATCGATTATGATTGATCGAATTACGGAAAAGTTATGAATTACAATAGATTATTATGTTTATTAAAACTTAAGAATATATAATACTGAGACAAATTACTTCAACCAAAAACTGGCTAATTCTTTTATTAAAAGTAAATGAACACTACGTTTGATCAACATTGTGGTCCTTTTCAAGTGTTATAATTATTCCGCAATTACATTAATTCGAAATGGAGACGTGAAATTATTACTTGTCATGTTAACAATCAACAGATTGTTAACATGACAAGTAATAATTTCACGTCTCCATTTCGAATTAATGTAATTGCGGAATAATTATAACACTTGAAAAGGACCACAATGTTGATCAAAACGTAGTGTTCATTTACTTTTAATAAAGAATTAGCCAGTTTTTGATCAAAGTAATTTGTCTCAGTATTATTTTTAAATTGTCACTGGCGATCAACATTATTTATGAATATTCTTAAGAATATATTTTAAGTCGCTGAATATGAATTCATGAAGTACACACAAAAAAATGTATATACATATAAAAAAGATGTTTTGTGTCTATAAGCTTTTGCATTCTCTCTTGAATATTTTTAATTTTGACACATTTTGATTCTACCAGTTTTAATTTTTCAATTTCGACATATTCACAATTTAAAAAAGATGTGTAAATTTGAATAAACATAATTGAAAACTATTTTATATTTGGTAAATCTTCAATGAATAATTTAATTCGTAACTTTTTCACAATATATTTAGCGTAAGAAAACTTATAAAATATATATTATTATGAGATTCTGCTAGTTTTAATTCTTCAATTTCGACATATTTATATTCAACAATTTAAAGATCTGTAATGTTAATTGAAAACTATTTTATATTTGATAAATATTTGAATAATTCATAACTTTTTGATAATATATTTAATATAAATATCTTATATATTAATTTTAATTGATATGTAACAATTCTCTTTTTTGAAAATTGAAATGCATAGCAACATAAATTAATGTTGATAATGAAACTGATTGTGCGATATTATTTAGCGTATTGTATATATTATTTTTTTTTATTAATAAACTGTATTATGTATGTTCTCCAATGACAAAGCAATATTTAAATTTAAAAACGTATTTACAAGATATTTATGCATTTACGTAAAGATCTGTAGATAAAAACAAACATGCAAGATAATAAACGATATCACTCATGCTATGTCATTGTAATGAAAATCTGTCTTACTTTTTGAAACATCGTAATGTTACGTGCTTATAAAATTTATTTCAATGTTGCAATATTTTATTGTGATGACCTTTTCCACATTTTTCGTAAAAAAAAAAAAAGAAAAAAAAACTATGTATATATACATCTTTTGTCATGTTTTTGTACTATTGTAATATTTCTTTATAAGAAAACCTATTCTTCTCACACATCTGTAAGTCTTTGCCGAGAGGGCGTTAGCAGATAAGCAGTCTCAAGTGCGAATTTTCGTCAGACACTATCAGTATTTTGTAGTCGTTCTGATCAGCATCGAGTTTAGATAAGCGCTTGTTAAAGAACATTGAGATATTATTCCGTTTTGAAAGTGCGAACAGTGCCAAGTCATTCTATTTAATTAGAAATTAAAATTTTTGTGCTATTAATAACAGCTAATTGTGAATCCAGGTAAGCGTTAAATTATTGGAGCAATTTTAGTCTCCAATCATTAACAAAGGATTCTCTCCATTCCTCCCAGTACTTATGCAAGTAATTCTAACAATGAGTTAATGACAGGTGACAAGTCTAGTGTATAATCAACATGTATGCATAGTATATACTTAGTTGTTTATAGTGTAATAGAGAGTTACGTACATTGTAATTTTAATAAAGCATATATTATTATTTTCTTTTGAAAGAAAATGCGTCTCCTCTATGTGGATGCTATACCAGGAATTGTAAATAATGCATTCCAGAACAAGGAACCATGGCAAATAGTAACTATGACCAGTACAGCTACACTCGCTACAGTATGGTTGTGGAACTTTATTTTCTGTCAAGATGAAAGTAATTATTATAAATATATTGAATATATTGAATATATTGAATATATTATATATATATATTGTGTTAATTATTTGTTTTAGAGAATTTATTATGTATTTTCATAATTAATATGTTGCAGGTCTGTTGAACCGTGGAAAGAAACAGCTGTTCAAGTTAGCTCGTTACATTCCCTCTATTCGTGATAAAATAAATAAAGAACTAGTTAATATTAATGAAAACTTTGAAAAAGATGTTGTGCACAGACTTAAAGAATCTTCATTTATTGTACATCTTCCTAAAAATGGTCTAAATAATGAAGAAATATTACATTTAGTGAAGCAATCTGTTAACTTAGGTAAGCTAAACTGACTAACTTTCGTAACCTGTCTTTTTGATATAGTACTTTAATTCAATTTTTATCTGAATCTTGCTAGGTGATTATGATTGGCAATCAGGTCGTGTGTCTGGTGCAGTTTATAGAACCAACAGTGATCTTAAACATCTGATGGGAGCTGTGTATGCAGTTGCATCGTACACTAATCCGTTACATCCAGATGTATTCCCAGGAATTTGTAAGATGGAAGCCGAAGTCGTTAGAATAGCCTGTGACTTGTTTCATGGAGACAAAGAAACTTGTGGAACTGCAAGTAGCTTTTTCTATTATTATTAAAATTATAAAAATTGTACAAATTAGAGAAAGAGAGATGTATAGATATAACATAATCTCCTATAAATATATTTTTAGATGACTACAGGCGGCACAGAATCGATTTTATTAGCGTGTAAAACATTTAGAGATTATGGTCGTGAAGTTAAAGGCATCAAGAAGCCAGAAATAGTAATGCCGGTCACTGCTCATGCAGCATTTGACAAAGCTGCGCAATATTTAAATATAAAAATACGTGCTATACCTGTTGATCCAGATAGTTTTACAGTTTCTATCCATGCCATGAAAAAGGCAATCACGAAAAATACAATAATGGTAAGACACATGTTATTTTATGTGTTATAAGTTTATTCTCACAAATTATTCATATATTTGTGATAGTTAGTAGGATCTGCACCCAATTTTCCTTATGGAACAATGGATGATATTGAAGCAATTTCTGAATTAGGTGTGAAATATAATATACCAGTTCACGTAGATGCCTGTCTAGGTGGTTTTCTCACTTGTTTTATGCCTGATGCTGGTTATCATTCACCGTTATCTGACTTTAGACTACCTGGTGTTGCTAGTTTATCAGCTGATACCCACAAGGTACTTGTGTATTTTGTATTACAGTGTAATAACTAAATTTATATATAAGTTCATATACAAATAATCACATATGATTTTTCAGTATGGGTATGCGCCAAAAGGATCTTCAATAATTTTATATCGGAACAAAATGTATCGACACTATCAATATACGATAAGTACGGATTGGCCTGGTGGTATTTATGGTTCTCCAACAATAAATGGTTCCCGAGCTGGTGGCATTATCGCTTCTTGTTGGGCCACATTAATGTTTTTAGGATACAATGATTATGTGGAATCTACCAAGAAAATTATAGAAACTACAAAATATATTGAACAAAAGTATGTACATCTAACAATAAGGGATAAGATTTATATTACAATTAATTCTCAAGACATCATGCTATGTGATCTTTCAAAAATTGATTGTAGTTTGAGAGAAATGGATGGGATTTTCATATTTGGTAAACCAGCCACATCTGTCATTGCAATAGGTTCTAATAAATTTCACATTTATCGACTATCGGAAGCTCTCAGCGCCAAAGGCTGGAATTTGAACACCCTACAATTTCCTTGTGGTATGCACATATGTATTACACATATGCATACTGAGCCAGGAGTGGCTGATCAATTCTTAAAGGACATGAAGTCTGAATTGACAACGATTTTGGAAACTCGTAATACTTTGGTGGAAGGAAAGGTAATATTTAGTAAAATTAGAATTTATCAACAGATATTTTTTAGATGCTAATTATATTATGTAATATTTTTCAGTTGGCAATGTATGGAATGAGTCAAAGCATCCCAGATAGAAGTGTGGTTGGCGATTTTACAAGATGCTTTTTGGATTCTATGTATTATACTAAAGAAAGCTAAACATGTCAATCATCTCATCATAAGAAGTGATAATTTATGCAATGAAGATATAAAACACATTCTTTCTTCCTGTGATGGATTAAGGATTAAAATTCAAATATATTTTCTATAACTATTCTTTCAGTGGAAATTCGTGCAAATATACAAATATTTTTATCAAAGTATAAAAAGAGAGAGAAAGAAAGAATATTCTTTTGTATGTTATAAAATATATTATAGAATAAACCGAAAAACTACTGTATAGTACAATCACTCTCAAAATAAGAAAGAAATCAATTTTCTTATCCTCGAGTGATCTCGTTTCTATATATAGATTAAATTTTACATTTATGTATATTAAAGACTAATCTTATACCTCGTAATTATTTTACATAAGAAAAAGTATATGCAATTGCTCAAAATTATTATATAGAAGATTCCACAAGAATAGAATAAATTGAGTTGAATTTTTTGAAGTTATATATTATTATTCGATAAAATTATATACATTTTATATATTTTATATTTTAACTGAAATATATATATATTTATATATATCAAAATATAAATTGTATTGCTATATATATTATATATTTTGCTGATATCATTGCATTATGGTGCCGGTATGTTTAAGTTATATATGAAGAAAAATCTATATATAATTATTGAATTTTTATCTCCAAATAAATAATACGTATAATTTTCCAAGTTGATAATATTTATTTCCTTTCTTTTTGTATTGGTCTACATTCTTATCTTTATCATATTCAACGCTAAATGTGTTTCATTCCGATAAGCTAAAATCTCTTTAATTTTTTTTTAATTCTTCTTTTGCCAAATCCTTTCGTAATCTTCACATTAAAATAGCTATTCCACGTCTCTATTAATCTACTTTCCTATCTAAACTGCATTTTCTACTGATTTACTTCTTTAACTCGACTACATTAAGAAAATTGCGACTGTTTTAAGACTACGCGTAATCACGTTAGAAGAATAATGAAAGACATAAGAAGGGAATAAGATGCAAATCATACTCATTTTCATTCTTAATGAAAGTTCTTTGAAGAAAATTCAATAAATAGCATAAATAAATATGATATTTTATAATTGTATTTTCCTTATAAATATCTTTCTTCAATCAATATAAAAATTTGAAAAATAGAAAGCTATTTTTTCTTACAATAACTGCCTAATGCTAATGTATCACAATCGATTTAATTTCACTTATTATTTGTTTCCTCATGCATCAATATATTTTTAATTTTCAGATAATACCTTGCATAATTAAATTATTATCAAATCTGTAGTAGAATTATATCGCGTGTTTGTAAATTCAATATATATTTACTCATAACCAGTTAGGGCTCGAATAAACGGAATGTCGCACCGGTTTTGTTCATCGAGAGCATACTTGAACGATATCAATATGCTTCAGTATGAGAAATATTTTATCGTATGCATGAAAGTAGTTATGAGGGCAAATGCCGATGTGATCTCGCCTGGATATCGCTATATCATTATATATATATATATATATATATATATATATATATATATGCGTATTTTAGCAACGCTTTTTAGATAAAATAAAATTTAATCATACATTTCCGGAGCAAGTGCTAATGTACCGTATGCATTGAAATTGTCATATTGTATTAATTTGAAAACGAATTACACAAGATATATCATAATGACGTCATCGTCAATACACAGCATATTAAATAAAGAATTTAAATGTGTCAAAAGTAATTATACGTGCGCATATAAAATACAAATCGATATAACAAAAAATTACAAAGACTAATAAACAATAAGCGTGCATAGATATTTATTGAATATAAAAAACTGATAATCTCGGCTCAAATTATTGTGTTACAATAAAAATAAAATCTCGACGGCAATCGGAGCCTGTGCGGATGACATGCACAAATTAATAAATTAAAATGAGATCTCAAATCAAACTCATTTATTAAATTCTAAACGTTTCGACCCACTTCAGGTCTTCTTCAGTAGCTGCAAAATACAAAGAAACAATAATAAAAGATAATCGGTATAATCAGAAAATTATAAAACTCGTATACATACAATCCGCCAATAAATTAAATATCATTCTCCTCCCTATTCAAACCGTCCGGCCGTCGGAGTGTCTCCCTAACGGTGACCATCGTCAGGAAGGAAGCAGAGCAGTGACTCCCTTACTAACACTAATCAACATAGTATAAATTAAACGTAGAAAAATCCACAAGAATTATAAATTAAAAACGGGAAGAACACTCACCCCGACAGCAAAAACTGAGAGAAGACGATGCTACACGTGACACATCACTTTAACGACTGTGCGGTATTCTACTTCGACACAGTCGGTACATATACACGCAAAAAACTTATTGACAAAAATTTATTGACTCTGACATTCTCTCTAACGTAATAATATTAAAGTGATAAATAGCGAATCAAGTAATTTTGATGTATATTATATGTATCCTTTTATCTTCTGCTAGATGATATTTTTCATATGACTTGTATTACATAAATGACAAATACGCAATCCTCACAGGCTGTATTTCATTCTGAAATAATGGCTTTCCCTTAGTAAAGCCGGACTAACGCCGCTTCTCTTTCTGATGTCTGAACAATCCAGAATAATATTGATATCTATATGTAACTTTATATCCGGACGCAAAATAAAGAGGAGAGAAAACTCATATTATGAGAAGCTCATATGTCACATCGAGGACGATAATAAAGTATATTTTTCCCGCGCACGTCCGATCCCCCACAGCATCGGAAATAAATGACTCGAATAGTGTAACGCGTAATTGATTCAATTAAAATGAATTTGTCATAAAAAGATTTGTGAAAAATTTCTTAACTTGCTTATTATATATTTTTTAAGCGAATTTATCGAAGTATATCAATTCCACTCTCCTTTTATTGTTTGTTACTTTTGCACGAGATTACAGCATAATGTGCGAAAGTTTTCTATAATCTGATGATTCTTCGACAAAAATTTCTATATCCGCAAACATGAGATGAATGCACAATTGACGTTTTAAGAATCACTGAAAAAATCAAATGTTGATGAATATTTCGTATTGCTCAGTTCGCAGCTGCTTGTAATTGTTACTATATTTATCTTCGTTAACGATCTCGTGGACCGTTCCCATAATTATTGGTTCAAGTTAATTGAGATTGATGATTAGTTCTTAGTTTCAGTTTCATTTCTCTTCTCTTCTCCCCATGGAGAGAGACATAATTAGAGAAGCAGGAACGTCGAAGTATAAATTAAAATTAAATACGCGGAACTAACAAAGCCGGACTAGATAGATAGATAGGTATACGTAATCTTATTAATTACGCAATATTAAATCGTAACAGCTTAAGAAGAACGAAATTAGTTTAATTTTCCCCCAACTAAAATTGTACACAAATTACGCGACTGCTAAATATAGAATCGATCGCATCTGTTTGTATATAAGCTTACAGCCAATTTCTAACATGTGTTGCGCGACATATTTCGGGATTTAGCCCATTTGGTCCTCGAATACGAGGTAAAAGCTCGAAAATTTTCAATAAAGTTCTCTGGCGTATTTCAGTAGACAACATTAATTAGTTTTATCAAATAACTTTCTTTTAATATTAAATGACAGCTGTGTTATACATTAATAACCGGATTTAGTCAAAAGGATGAATGGTCATTCATATATCTATATTTTATTTCTTTATCATTTCTCTTGTGTAACGCGTGCGCTCGCGCCTTGTGTCATTTCAATATCGCACCCATTCGTAATTGGCTGAACGTTCATTCTGTCAAAGCGACAATTGAAAGCGCTGTATGCATAAGTAATTGAAAATATTCCAATCATTGAGTTTGCGACGCGTCGCGATCTGTTATAATCCCAATCGTATTTTTTTCTTCGCCGATTCGATTATCCGTGTAATTAGAGCATATGACTGGTACTATGAAAAAAGTTGTACAGACACATATAATATACGATGTTGCATAAAATGCATATCTCGTCATATGCGATCCGTCATTTAAATTTAAAAAATTATAAAAAAGGATACAGATATTATATATTTTATTATAGCATGTGTGTATAACGTGAAAATGCAAAATAATATCAGGAATGAGAGAAGAGAAAGAGAGACAGAGAGAAAGAAAAAGAGAAACGAGAAATATAAATATAAATGTTTATTTTTATTTCTTTCATTTGTCATTTTAGCCGTATTTTGAATAAAACATATTGAATGTAATAATTTCTTTCTCTTTTTCTTTTCATTATATTAATTTATTGTATTAATTTTTAGAATACTCTTGTTGATCTAAATAAAGCAGAAAGATATGAATATTCGATACTTTTATTGAAGAGGTTTTTTTCTCGTCATTATTAGAAAAACTTCTTTTATTATCCAATAGAATTAATGGATTGATTCATCTAATGAAATATTACAATTATTAATGAGATAAAAACTAGGTAAAGCTAATCTTTTAATCTTTACAACATGAGAGAATATCGAAAATTATGAACTTTCTGAGTATACTTATATGTTCCATAAAACTATATTAAAAATATACTTGGGGCTTTAGTTAATGTTAAATGTCCGGTGACGAAAATTGCGCTTATAGCAACATGATGAGATAAAAGCCACATGGTCGGCTCTATTGTTTCTATTAGATAATGGATCATTAAATACTGTCGTACGTTCTGCTACATGGTACGACGACAATGTAATATTCAACGGAAATAAAATCAGTTGCGTAATTTCATTATAATGTATTCTAAAGAGATTTCACACACGCTCTTATATTTATGTATGTATAGGTATATTATATCTATATATTTCAACTTCCTTTGCATATATATAAAAATGTAAAATATTATCAGAATTTTTAAGCTAATATTTAGCACATATTTTACAATATAAAAGGGTATTGCGTCTTTTAATCCACTTATTGAAAAAAAAACAAGTCGCAACACGTATTACACATAATTCTCATTTTTATTTTTCGTTCCCATTATGCGAGCGCGATATTGAAATTACAGAGTCATAAAAAACTGTGCTTTCGCAAAATAATAAATCGTCATAAAACGCGAGCAATTACTGTCGATTCGTGCGCATCACGGTTTTTATTTCGCCAAAATTTACGTCAAATTTTATCGCGATTGAATTTCAATCTATTGTACAGAGAAACGATCAGTGTGACGAATCTTATTGCAATAACTGTAACGTCAATTGAAAAAGTTGTTAGTTCAAAATCCATTTTGAAATTTCAAATCTATTTTGAGATTTAATAATATTTCATAAAGAATATGTTAAAATACAAATGTCATTTTTGTAAAAAAAATCTCTTTCTCGT